TTCTAGTTCTAGTAGAAGTCTAAAAGTAGAAGACTAGTAGGAATTTGGAAACTACTCAAACTAGGAAGTAGGAACTACCAAACTAGTAGAATACTAGTTCGGTTCGGGTCGGGTTGGTTTCGGTTTTCATGCAAGAAAACCGAAACCGACCCAAGATTTCAGTTTATGTATGTGCCCAACCCGAAATCGACCTGTACGGATGAAAACCCGGCCGACTCGGGTTGGGTCGGTTTGGTCGGGTTGGGCATTCTTATGAACAGCCCTAATTGGAAGCCGGATCAACCTCCAGCAGGGAGCAGTCAGATCGCGCTACATCACCTACTGCCTGCATTATGTGTGGGTTTGGTGTAGTGTAGACCTGAGCTAGACCTAGCTTAAAAGAAAATTGTTGCTTGAGCCCGCAAATTTATTGGCTTAGCCGGGTTGGGCTAAGTTATAAATGGTCATTCCTAAGTAGAGTCTAATGACAATTCTAATTTGGCCATTATTAGTTTTATTATTTTAATTATTTTTTATAATTTTTATATAGAATGCAAATGGTTTGCTTTATTACTTTTAATATTTTGTTACTTATTATTAGTATTTTTAACTATCCTATCAATATTAATTATTTTTAAATAGAATTCAAATGTATTTTAATTTATGAACTACTAATTTTCATTAATTTCTTAATTCTTAATAGTCGTTAGATAAAAACTTGCTAAAATTTAGTATTTTTATTAACTTTAGTAATTTTTTGTTCATTTTAGTTATTAGGTTTCAAATTAGAATTTTCTGAAAATTAACCAATTAAATAGAATTTGAATATGAAATAAAAGTTTAGATGAGAGTAAAATTCTCTCTCTCCTTGTAATACAATAGACTAATAATGGAAGATGCCTTTAGAAATATGCTAAAATAGGTTAGTGATGGAAGGGGTGGGAACTATGCCTTAGAATTCTCTCTCTCTCTCATTATTTTTAGGTGATTTAACTATTTATGATATTTTTATTAACTACTTTTTAAACTGTTATTTGTTTATAGGTTGGGTTGGGCTCACGCTGGCCTTGAATATTAGGTCCAACTTGGCCTTGAAATTTGTGGGCCTAATGGGGCCAGGGCCAGGGCCAGACTAATGTTCACCCCTAAGCAAATTGCTTTTGGTTTATTAGATTAATGAGGAGAAGAGAAAATAAAATTAAAATAAAAAAGGAAAAAGAGCAATTTAATGGAGTAATGGAGAGGAGAAAGAATTAGTGGAGTGAGTTACCAGAGGAGAGAGAGAGAGAGTTAATGGAATGATTAATGAGGAGAGATAATCAAAGGAGTTAATGAGAAAGAGAAGATAGGGTTAATGAGAAGAAGTGAAAGTCTTAAAGACCTAAAGTTGATTGGCTACTTGAGTTATTTTGTTCAATTTAAAAAAAAAAATAAAAAAAAACACAAAATAGATAAATGGTAGGGGAGAAAGGAGAACCATTCTGACATGGCGCACACACACAAACACACACACACACACACACACATATATATATACATCAAGAAAGGACCCTTTGCCTCCACCATAAATGATCCCTTAAATCAATTTTATAATGTACACTGTATCTATAAATTGCAAACATGTATTAGATTTAGACAGCACTATGGCAGTTGATCTTCTCAAGTTTTGGAGAACTGGTGTATTGATCTTTATGTTTCATAAGTGATAGCTTTGCTACCATAACTGAATTTCCATGGTTGCTTATATGCTGAACATGTTCTGAGTAAGAATCCTGCATATGCTATATATGTTATTAGTTTATGGCCTCATACATGTTTGAATTGTAGATCTTTGAATCATTTGCCTTTTTTGTTTACTTTATTTTCTTGGTTGACTTCCCCTTCCTTTTGCAGACTGGCGAAGCTCACAGCTGGACCTGTATGGATCTTTATGTGTTTGCTACACCCTATAGGGTAACCTGGGATTATTACTTTTCTTCTAGGGAGCACACCTTGGAGATTGCATCATGGGAGGAACCTGCAGAGTTGGAATATGTATAACTCTTGATTGACTCGTTTCTGCTTCACATTTGATAATATAAGTCTAAAGATGACATTCTTGGTGACTATGGACCAGGTAAAGCAGCATGGAATATCTGTGTTTCTTATGCCATCAGGAATGCTGGGAACATTGCTCTCTCTGCTTGATGTCTTGCCTCTATTTTCCAACACTGCTTGGGGTCAGAGTGCAAACATAGCCTTTTTAGAGAAGCACATGGGGGCATCATTTAAAAAGCGTCCTCAGCCTTGGCGTTCCATTATCAATCCAGAGGATGTTCATTCTGGTGATTTCTTAGCAATTTCAAAGATCCGTGGGCGGTGGGGTGGTTTTGAGACATTAGAAAAATGGGTAACAGGTGCATTTGCTGGTCACACAGCAGTTTGCTTGAAGGATGAAATGGGAAATTTATGGGTTGGTGAGTCAGGGCATGAGAATGACAAGGTATGTGGATGATCATTTAGGAATAATATGGCAGAAAGAACCAAAATGAATCTTGAGCTTGAATTGCATGCTAGGAAAATCAGAATAGTTTATGAATTCATCTAGAATGGCTGCATTCTTATGTGAAATAGATGCTTTTTAATGAGAAACACCAATATTCTGTTTTTTTTTTTATTTTTTTGTTAATCACCAACAGTTTTATTATTATCTAGTTTATAGTTCACTGACAGTTTCAATTATTATTTCCATAACATCTTAAACCATAAGCTGTTTTCAGAATTTAAAACATACAAGTATAAACATTGCAGTAAATTAGAGGTTCACTATTATATATTGGTGATGTGCAGGGAGAGGAAATTATTGTAATAATTCCATGGGATGAATGGTGGGAACTATCACTCAAGGATAACTCTAATCCGCATATAGCATTGCTTCCCTTGCATCCTGATTTGCGTGTAAAGTTTAATGCTACTGCAGCATGGGCCTATGCTCGGAACATGGCAGGCAAGCCATATGGTTATCATAACATGATATTTAGTTGGATCGATACCATGGATGAAAATTATCCACCTCCTCTTGATGCTCACTTGGTATGTGTTGTCACAAAGTACAGGTGTCTTAAGCTTCCATTGTTTTTAAAATTGCTTATGGCCTTCATAGCCTGGTGATTTATTCCTGTTGAATTGATCACTAAAAAAACTTATGAAACTGACAAATTTTCAGAATGGAGTATAAACTTATGTCAATCATGTGAATGAGGATGGGAACAATAGTTGTGGTAAAATATGATTAATTCACTGAATATGTGCCTTCTCTCTTTGTGTATATATTTGCATCAGGTAGTATAGTATCTAACCATATCCATATATCACAATCTGACTGCTTCTTTGGCTAAGTCATGTACTACTTAATTGACCCTTCAAGCTTAAATGCTAAGGACACACCAAAGCACACAAGGACATACTAAGTGTTGCACAAGAAGAAAATAGAATTACATTAAGGAAATGGTTACAACTACTCTACAAGGCTTGACTACTTGGATAATTTAAAAATGAGGGAGGTGGCTCCTATTTATACATGTTCCACCTCCATACAAGACTTCTCTAGAAACATTCTGCACTCTTCTCAATGGATACATCTAGAACCATTCTAGTCCTAGACCTTAACATTTCTACACCCTTCAACAAGAATATACTAGAGCATGTCTAAGTTCATCTAGACACCTCAAGGAAGATCTACTAAGTTCTCCAATGTCCTAGAGTGCTTCCAGTCCACTGGAGCACACTCTAGAAGGTTCCAAATTTGGCTGGAATGCTCATGAATTCTCCATTTACCGCTAGCCAGTCAGCCCAACTATGTTGCCCATGATACATACACTTGATTTTGTTTACATGCGCACCTTTTTTGCTGTCTCTATCTCTAATTTATCTGTATTTGTTGCTGTATGTACATAAACATGCGTGGCCTTTTCAGACATGGCTAACTTGTTCCCCATGTTTACAAGGTCCTTTCTGTCATGTTTATGTGGACTAGATTGCAACCGGCATATGCTGCTAATATGTGGAATGAAGCTCTAAACAAGCGTCTGGGAACTGATGTATGTTATAGCTTTTCCTGAATTTCTTTAATATGTTGCATGATTCTATTGGCCTAATTATTTTTTTCATTGCTCGGATTTAATGACTCTTACATTCAAGATTAAGTGGATATGGCAGACCTTAAACTTCTAAAAATTGTATATTCTAGGATGAAGAGATGCTTGTATACTGTTGGGAGTTATGCATTTACTATGTACAGGAAGACTAAGTCATTGCCGATTTTTGGTCCTGTATCCGAGGTCTTGAAATTGAGGGTGGGCCTTGGCGTAACAGTCAGGTTTCTCCATTGCAACCTGGGTGACCAGGGCTCGAATCTTTAGAAACAGCCTCTCTGTGCAGGGGTAAGGCTGTGTACATCTGACCCTCCCTAGGCCTCGCTTTTTTTTTTTTTATAGGAAATGGTAAAATCAGAATTACAAACTGTCACCTACAGAAGGAAAAGGTGATCCCTGAACAAAAATCAAGTTACAACACAGCCCAAAACAAAGACTCTCTATTCACCCCTTGCTTTGCTAATGGATGTCCCATATATCAAACTGCATAAATCACATTACTAAAAACTTCATTAAAAGCTTGAAGAACTTGGAAAATCCATGCATTAATAGGTGTTGTTTCTCCTGACACCTTGTCTAGGAGCCCCATTACAAATATGTTTTGATTGTTTCATTTTGGTGCATACTGGCATCTTATGATGCATTGTGCTGTTTTGACATTTTGTCTAAGCATAAAAAAAAAGAAGATTGGGTCTAGAGATGAAATGGTATTTTGATTTGGTTTCAAGTGAAAAAAAGAGGGATCCTAGTCCTACCATGTATAACATTTAAAGTGACCTTGGTTGCAACTTCTTTTTCAACTGATAGAAGAATATTTGAATATACTTTGTGATTAAGGGGTAAACAAGTTAAATTTGACTATGTTTTTTTCTTTGTATTTTTAGATAGAAAGAGTATTTCCTCATTTTACATGTTGCCTATTCACACCCTGGTATTTTGATTTGTTTAGTCATAATGTAGTTGTATTTAAAATTTCATAATAGTCATTTAGTTTTTCTTCGAGTCAACATATGGTAGTAGCAATTCTGTATTTTATGTAATGGGCATCCCTAATTTTCCTCCATGAGTTTCAATCATCTTTCTTCCTACTAAGTTTTATCTCAAAACTCCATCTAAAAGACTAAAAACTGTAGTTCCTGAAATTCTGGGAAAATTTTCTCAGAGTTTTTGTCTTTTTGTGGAATACCTACCCAGTATGCCGTCTACTTAAATTGCCCCTACAATATGTAGGTATACATAGTCTCATTAAAAAATTCCATCTGTATTGTAGGGGCAATTTAACTGGGATATTGGGTAGGTATTCCACAAAAAAACAAAAACTCAGAAAAATTTGCCAGAATTTCAGGAACTACAGTTTTTAGACTTTTAGATGGAGTTTTGAGATAAAATTTAGTAGGAAGAAAGATGATTGAACACAAGGAATTGGGCAGCAGTGGCCTCCACATCATCCAAGAAAAATAGAACACAAGCAAGTTGGTTACCCCCTCCGGAAGGAGTTGTAAAGTCGAACTTTGATGGGAGCAGTCAAGGCAATCCAGGACCTTCGGGTATAGGAGGGATCTTGAGGAATAAGGATGGCAATATTCTGTCCTTATTCTTAGGTCCAGTGGGTTATGGAGACTCTACAAGGGCTGAGATATTAGTTGTGGTACAAGGACTACAGATTTCCAACCAACTTGGAGTGACTAATTTGATAATTGAAGGAGACTCTAAGGTGATAGTGGGATGGATGTCGGATCCAGAAACTGTTGTTTGGATATATAGGGACATCATCAAAAAAGTCAAATGGCTTACGAGAACCATGTCAGTTAGCTTTTAGTGGGTTAGTAGATTGGCAGATTCTTTAGCTAAACAAGGGGCTTCAAGGGATTCTCTGTTTTTGGCTAATTTGTAACTGCATTCTGAAAAGAGTTGGGCTTGGAACCACCTTTAAGGGGAGGTAACACCTCGTGCCTCCTCTTAGGGTGCTTCATGCTTGTACTATTTCTATCTCTATTTAATAGAATACCATTCATTCATCAAAAAAAAAATCCATCTGTATACTTAGTTTTGAATTTTCTATTTTCCACCATCTTGTGAAGAACCTATAGTTCTCAAAGAATTTGTCTAGAACTTTCTAGACCTTGTTAATCTCTACTGTCAGTCTTAAAATCAGTTCATTATTACTCTCATAGATTCATCCTTGTATTATACCAATCCTATGTCACTTTGTCAACTAGAGAGACATGGGAAATTTTGTAGAAGTAAAACAAAAGTCGCAAAATATGAGGGAGACAAAACTTTATAAAAAAATAAAGGTAAAGGGTTTGAAATAAATAAGACATTATAGCTCCATTTTGGAAGACTGAACACAAATATGCAAGGTTCATGAAGCAAGGTGCCAAGCAGCTGGTTGGTAAGGTCTCCTGCTGGTCGTAGCGGAGACTTGGGATCGAATCCCGCCTGCACCTGGGTTGGGAGATGGGCTACCCCCACTGTGTAGCCCTTAATGAACATATCAAAAAAAAAAAAGCAAGGTTCATGAAAATGACAATATTTGTATTTACACTCTTCCCAGACAGCGCTTATAGGGGGAATGTATCAAGAAGGAGAATACAGTTAATTAGAATGGGAAGTGAAAGATTGCGAACTAGAAAAAGACAGATACTAGGTCTCCTACAAGTACATTGTTGATGTAATCATGGAGGAAATTCTTCAGTCCAATGACAAATATCGATTCATATTTGCAAAAAAATTCCATAATTCTCCATATCAGAACATTGCAAAATATTAAAGCTCATATTAGTTTATATGGAAGCAGTTTACATGTTGACCCAATGATGTGATCTGTATATAATTAAAATGGATTTCCACAAATATGCATTGGAAGTCCAAGTTGTTATCTGTCATGTGCATCTTTTGTGTGCTTCCTGTGGGTTGGTATGACCCTTAATCGTTACTACTATTGCGTCTTGCATCTTGTCTAAATTATTAAGATTTTTATATTAATTGGAAATAACATTCATGCCTAGTTGGATATAGGGTTTGGATTTGCCTGGAATACTCGCTGAAAGTGAGAGGCGTGGCATTTCCTTTGATCAATTACTTATCATCCCAGAACAAGATGAATGGGTGTACAGTGATGGAAAATCAACAACATGCGTTGCATTTATACTTGAGATGTATAAAGAGGCTGGAATTTTTTATCCTATTTCCAGTTCTATTCAGGTCACTGAGTTCACTGTAAGTGTAAAATGCATCTTATGTCTATCTCAACTCAGGTAAATGAGTAGTTAGTCATCTGACAAAGTTTTGCTGTTGCTTGCAGATTCGTGATGCTTACATGCTAAAGATATTTGAGAATAACCGAACACGCCTACCAAGTTGGTGCAGTAATGCAGATGGTGAGCTTCCATTCTGCCAGATTCTTGGAGAGTACCAAATGGAATTGCCTCAGTATAACACCATTGAGCCATATGCCAACATGAATGAAAACTGCCCCTCCTTACCACCAACATATGAGAGGCCGGTAAGGTGTTGAAAACTTGAACTGGAGCTGTAGGTGCTATTTGTAGTCCTGAAATATTCTCTCTGAGCTTGTATGATGTTACTAAGAAGTTACTGATGTCCTCCTTGGAGATAATCATGGTATGTGTAAATAAGCAATACGTATTTTCACATGTTTCTCCCTGAAATCTTCAAGATCAGCATATTCTTGCTTGCTTTCTTAAATTTCAAATGCGGGTCTCCGGGGTTCAAAATTCAAATCATGTTTATTTTGTGTGATTTTGTTTTTTCAAAACAAAAACAATTGACACATCGACTGATGACTTGGCAAATTGTCATCTCTTGGTAAGAACATTTTGACTTAACCATCATATCCAAATCCATACGGACGACTTTGGATCCCAATACACACTTAAAACACATACGAGTTTGGATTTACATAATGACTAAATTTTTGTTGAGTCAACCAGGAGAGAGAGGAACCTTGTAGAAATGCGAATGATATCATAGTTCTAGCTATGAGACGTTGGCGTATTTGTCTGTGATGTGCGCGGAGTATTCATTCGTAGTGATCGTCTAGTGAAAGGATGAAACTAATTAGTTGAACTTTGACATGTCTGTATTGTCTAGTACTCTAGTTGCATATTGCTTCCTGTGGGCCTTGCACCCTCAATGGCTCAATCCCTCGTACGTATGCACATTTTCCCCTTTGATAAGCAACGGTGCCACGTCAATATGGCTACTATCAGTATTATTCTGTGCATGAATCAGTGAAATAGTTTTATGGGTTTTGGAGAACCATTGGGACTGTGTGAACGGTGTGAACACGATCTTGTGAGCACTGAAGTCGATTTCCCCTGAGATTCCCTAATTTCCTTCCCTTTTGTTACATGAACCCGTCAATCTGTTGGAGCCATGCATTCAGTTAATCGGTTGAATCCTTTTACCATGTTTTAGTTTCTGTTTCCTGAAGCCAAACTGATTAACTGTTGTTATCCATATTGTGCTTTTAATCCTTATGCCGAAATTGCCAACATTGTTTGGGAAGTTTGTGAAAGGATCTCCAGCAACCAAAAATTCGAAGACGTGGGCATCCAGCCATGCATTGTGGACATCTCCCCATGAATTTAACATACAGGTATGGGAAATTCTGATGTGTGGTTAGATGCCGTGTGTGTAGAGTTTTTTGTTTGCATGAGATCTGGGCTTGTCCTATGTGTGTGTAATATAAAACCACACCATTACACGAGAGATTTTATATTTTGATCATTTATATTATACTATTTATAAAAGTGCAATGGGCTTACTTTCTGAATTTTCACTGGGCAAAATTTGCCCTTTTCTTCTTTGCTCAGTTTGGAAGGAATACAAATACAAATATGTACAATACAAATACATACAAAATAATACAAAATACAAGGTTTTGCACTTTACATAATTGTATTTGTACTCCTTCCAAACTAAGGGAAAATTAGTATTTTGATAAAGAAAACTTAATTGAGTTTGTTTAGTAGTCATCACTCATAACTGATCACCATTAAAATCGCTAGTGTCGCCTGCATTGTAGTGGGCCGTGCCTGCTTGGCATAAATCTACCAAGAGGGGAGCTTGGAACAGTCCATGGCCTTTTGTTTTTTTAATTGAAAAATGAAAATAAAAAAATAATAAGATAGACAATAAATTTTTAAAAAAATCTTAAAATTTTATTCCATATGAATTTTAATATATATAATTATTTCTATAAAATAATAAAATAAAATTGAAAAAATACAATGAAACTGGAATAAAATAGTATGATGTAGGCCATGCCGAATTGGGCCTGGAACCCAAGCCCAGCATGGCCCGAGTAATGCCAGCACGCGAACAACCCAGCCTGCTTTACAGCTCAAGCATGCCTGCAAATTAAACATTAACCATATAACAGTTGAATTTGATTTTTATGACCTGCATGTATAACCCAAGGCAAATATGCATTTTATATATGATACATGCATCTCATTCTCATCCTCCCATTAAATTCTATCCAACCAAAAAAAAATGTCCCGTGTATTTCTAGTTTTTAGATTTCTTGGCTTTTTTACTTTGTCGTTCTACATGATACATGTTGCTCAGTTTGGAAGGAGTACAAAGACAAATATTTACAGTGCAAATTATGGTTTTCAAAATCAGACCGGACCAAACGGTCAGACCAGAAAAACTGGAAACCGGTCTGTCTTCCACCAAAACCACTTTTTCTCTAAAACCATTTAACCGTTTAAATGGTTTTGACCGTTTTTCAACTTTTTTATTTTTTTGTCAGAACGGGCCAATCATTCGGGTTGAACGGTTAGACTGTTCGAACCAATAACTGAACTCCTGACCGGTTTAATCAACAGTTCATTTTTAAAAACCATAGTGCAAATATATACAAAATATAAGATTTTTTACTCTACAAATTTGTATTTATACTCCTTCCAAACTGAGCCTGTAAAATAAAAGTTTAGGAATAAGAACCTGAACAATAATGCGATAATGAACTTTGTACACGTGTCCGGTGCATCAAACATGTCTTCCTACGATATAATAGGATCCTAGAAATTAAATTGAATCTGAACAGTGACAATTCGTGGCAGAGCTGGGGGTGGCAAAGGAGAGCTAAAGCCTACTTATATTTTGATCCCCAATCCATCTTATTAGCTTGTGGCCCCTTATTCATGTCTCATAGTTTTTGGCCCCTTCAAACCACTCATGAGCCTTTTTTTTTCCTTGGTGCCAAACAATCAATGTTAACGTTAATGGTGGAAGCACATCAAATTACAATAACAGGTAAAAAAGACAATATATCAATATATCATTATACATTTCTAATTTACAAAAAGAATTACCATGTTATAATTACTTTCATCACCATTATTATTACTACGTATAACATTTATCTTTTTTGGGTATTTGGTGCCATGCACCTCCATTAATAACTTTCCCCTTATCCTTTTTTCCCGAAGTACTGGATTCGGAACAAACCAGCTAACACGGGTCAACGTTTTATATGTATAAAGTACACGTACACATTTATCAGTGTAATGTAGACACTAATTAACAAGAGAGGGGGACTTTTCTTATTTGTAAATGAACGGTATGATTTGCAATGAGATAAATAGGAAAATATTCGATGATCAAGTGGTAGCAAAAACAGAGTTGATATCAAATATGTTCCAACCTTCTACCAATTTGATCTAACACTCCATATCTCATCACGAGACTGTGGCAAGTGATCCGGACTCAGTTAAAACGCGTAAACAAGCTGATAATTGACCACGTGGCAAGTAAAACTCATCTTACGGTCCTAAGACCCAAGATTTTGCCTGACCCCTGCTGCACTCACGTTCTATCTCTGCAGAAAAATATCTTAAAGAAAGAAAGGGGCATTGTTGTCATTGGATAATTAGAGGGAGTCGAACATCTATTTCCGGTACACTTTTCTAACGAGGCCGTTAAAGCATAAATGCTCATTTTCTTTCCTTCGAAGCTGCTCCAACCCAATCAAAAGAGGAAAGAAAATAGAAAAATAAAAATAAAAGGAAAAGCCAGAAAGGGAGAGGAAGACTAGCTTAAAGTCAGTGTGGAGGAGGTTAGAGAGACAGAAGACTGTACATGCAGCTGAACCAGCACCGGTGCTGATACTTGAACTTCGATGGCCTTCTTCAACACCAGCAGCAACCGGCGGGGGAGTTCGTTAAACTCTTTGCTCCCGCTGTCGAGCCCTAAACCAAAGCTTCCCAGGAAGTCAAGGAGAAGAAGCTCTCTCCGAGATCTCATTTTCGCTAACTTCTTTACAATCGGTCTCTCGATCTCTCTTATCTTCTTCATAGCCGCCGTCCTTCGCTATGGTATCCCAAGACCCCTATCTTCTCACTTTAAGCCCAGGAATTATCGTTTCCCCAAACCCAGAAAACCTGCTTATCGGAAACCCGCTTTGCCCAACATCCCAAGTGAATTCGCTTCTGGCGCTATTGTCGATATTACGACGAAGGATCTGTACGATAAGATCCAATTCTTGGATATCGATGGAGGACCATGGAAGCAAGGCTGGAGGGTCACTTACAAAGGAAATGAGTGGGATTCTGAGAAATTGAAGGTTTTTGTGGTTCCTCATTCTCATAATGATCCCGGTTGGAAGATGACTGTCGAGGAGTACTATGAACTGCAGTCGCGCCGTATATTGGATACTATTGTTGACGCTCTTTCCAAGGTAAATGCGAATTTAACTCTATATGTTAATGTAACAGGCAAAACCTTTTCAATGATTTGTCTTATAACAGATCATTGGATCGAAATGAAATGAAATGAAATGTTCTATAACGGATCGAAGTACTCTTTAGATTACTGTAGCGGGCAACTGTTTTCCATCTAATTTCTGCTACTCTTAATGAATTGTCTTATAACTGATTAATCAAGCATAATTAGTGTAACGTGCAACTAATTTTTGATATAGATCTTTCATTTCATGTGGTCCTGGAATCGCTTTTAACTACATTTTAATTTGGGTGTTTTCTTGAATAATTAGATTGGAATTGGTGAATCTAAGTACTATCATTTTTTATTCCTTTTACATTTTTTCCTGTCGACTCAGATTTATGTGATTGTGAGACCATCCTAATTATGCCCCTTGCCGGGTTTTCTAATGCAGAGAAATTGATATGATAAAAGTGGAATACTTTGCAGGATTGATGCAATAGTTTGTAGTCACTGATTGTTGAAATGGAATCAATGTTGTCGGTGTCTTTTGATTTTTCAATAAAGGACATGTTCAAAGAAGGCATACTGAGTTTTTAGGTTTCTGAAGATTGTTTTAATTTGGATTTGTAGGATGACCGCCGGAAATTTATATGGGAAGAGATGTCATATTTGGAGAGATGGTGGAAGGATGCCTCACAAGAGAAAAGGGAAGCATTCATCAATTTAGTCAAGAATGGACAGTTAGAAATTGTTGGAGGTGGCTGGGTTATGAACGATGAGGTAACCATATACATGTTATCATACTTAAATATGATAATTTTTTGCTCTTAGATTTGTCTCTCTCGTATGGTGGTTTAGATCATAACTAGTTCCGTGCATTTTCTGATTAATTAATCTGCTTCTCTTCAACCCATGCCTTATCCCAACTATATGGGGTCTGCTACATAAATCCTGTTTCGCCACTCTGTTTTATTTTCTATTCTCTTTTTCTATTATCAAAAGAAAAAAAAAGCCACTGTTCAACCTATTCTGCATCCTGCTGATGTCATATCTATTTTGATCTCAATGCATCCTAATCCTAACTCAGAAGCAAGGACTGATGTAAAAAAAGCCTCAGGAGCAAGGATGTTTTAAAAGTTTTAAAATACTTCTGTGTTGATGTATCGAAGTGTATTTGGGTACACCAATACTGATATAATTGGGTGTATTATATTGATATTATTAATCCCTGCTCAGAAGATAAGAAGCAATGGTGCCTACATAGGTGTTGCCACCTCTGGACTCAAGCCCAAAACTCAAGTTGCTGGCATGCTATGCTAAAATTATGAGTTGGGAGGCCTGGTCCGAGCACATCTACTGGGAAAGGGGTTAGAGTTTTTTTTTTTTTTTTTGATAATTAGAAAGGGATTAAGGTTTAAAACTGCAACCTAGTTTGTCACCTCAACTATACTTTTGCAAGTTCAACTATGACCAAAAGGAGGAACCAAATAGTTACTGGTTGCTGTTTAATAGGCCTTGCAATGACCAATCTTTAGTGAAGATCTGTGAAACAATAAGAAATATTGACTGCGTCTTTCATCTTATTGTCCTCTTCATAGATGTATAATTAGTGTAAAAGACTCATGGTTCTTATAAGAGGAATTCAATTTGTTTCCTAGCAGGCTTCTTCACTAAATCCTGGTTCCTCTGTTTATGGATCAATACATTTAGGCCCAATTTGTTTCACCATAAGATACACAAAAAATTTTCAATCCAACAAATGTCACTTATGTTTCTTGACTTTCTTCCTTCTGCTCCTTTTACATAGAAAAAACTGCAGCCTTATCTAAAATTCTTATCCTGGTGTCCCGATTAATAGGATCACAGTGGAGGATCATAGTGGAGTCAATACCATCAGAACCATAACCAGTGGAGTCATTTGGTGCTATTGATCTTCTTCCTGTGATTATCTACTAACAAAGTAACGAACCTTTGAAATAGTAATTTTTTTTTTTGGAAAAGGTAAAGTAATTTTATTCAACTCAAAAAACATACAAGCTGGGATCAGACCCAGAAGGGTTAGTTCTTCAGTTTTTCTTCTCAGCACCATTAGAGTACTAAAATTAACATCACAATGCTTTGTGAGTTTTGCTGAAAACCTATTGTAGATAAGTGATATAATTATATAAAGCTAGGCACATTTTCCATTAATTGTTAGAACTCTACGGTGAAGTTTTTCTAAGTTTGCAACTAATTGCTTAGGTGCTTTTTCTTTTCCCAACTCAGTTAGATATAACCACCCCAACTTAGTAATTGGCTGTTCTGGCTATGGTACTGTGCAACTTAATATTATCGGCATTTTTAAGGAATAATATCTGTATTCTTTAACAATGTATTTGCATATAAGGAGGAAAGTAGGTTTTCACTACCCTTGGATATGCAGTTAATTATGTGTCCTAAAATATTTTCTTCAAGGAAGTTTATCGTGTTTAATATGTGTGTTCTCTTTTGCAGGCTAATTCACATTACTTTGCCATCATTGAGCAGGTATCTTTGAAGAGCTTTCCAATCTGGTTTTTTAATGGCTAATTGTTTCAAAATTCATTACATGACCATTTCAAGTGGCCAAGCTATGGATTTTGATCCCTCTCTATTGATGGCTTGTGGTGTTGAATTAGATAGCAAGTTCTATTCTAATTGGCACATTTGGCAATTGGTGTGAATGCATCTGATAGAATATAATGAATTATAGAGTGCATGCGGAGAAGTTAATTATTATATGCAAAAATAAATTATCCATATTATACAAAATAAGTATTGATGTTATTATGCCTTTCTTTTTTTCCTTTTGGGAGGGGGTAGTTTGGGTTCAAAGGTGAATGTGGACCAGTGCCATCATAACGTGTTACATGAGTAATCCCTCATCTTTTTGATCAATAACTCACAAATTTTTTTAATTGAAGAAGAAATAGATACAGCGATACAGAATTAGGGGAGATAAGCTTTCTTAACTCACCCACCCAAAGACAACAAACAAAGATAAGAAACTACAAGATATCGCAAAACAATGAGTAGTCCACATTCCTTGGGGTTGTTTTTGTTCCCTCTTTTATAATGAAATTATACTTTACCTTTTCCCAAAAAAGTGTTACACAAGCAGCAGCTAAAACAATGGTTGAGAGAGACATGGGAGTCATTGAGCAAATGAGCAGAAGTCTCTGACATTTGATGCTGAGATTGGGGAGACAGATGGTTTGTTCTGGAAAGGATGTGCTGGCTGGTTTGGAGGGTGTAATCTCTGTTTTGCTAAACTGTAACAAAAGGGGGTTGAGGAGTTGTAGCCAGGGAATCTAGAGGAATGGGAAAGGAAAGAGGTGGTGTTCAGTCAAAGTATAAGTTATGGGGGTGTGTTCGAGTCTGTGCTGATGTGTTTTCATTTTCTTATTGGACTGGGGAATTTGCTGTTTCCTTAGGCTTTTTCTTATTGGAAGCTATGATACCTGCCATAGTTTTCAATTCACCAAGGTGTTACCTAGGCAATGGATTTTTTAAGTAAAAAACATATATCCTAGGGTAGTTCCCTAGGTTCCATAACCATACTTCCTTAATAATTATCCTTACTTTATTGATAAAAAAAATTATCCATAATTTTCATAAGAAAAGTATAAACTTCATGTTAGAGTATAGAAAATCAATGTATTCACAAGAAGAAAAAGAAGAAAGAAAAGAAAATTAAAAAATATAGGGGCTGAATCCCTATTTTTGTTATAGGAATAAAGAAAAGAGAAGGTGGAAGAAAAAATTTTAAGTTCTTCTGTACTTATTGGTTCAGGTTTTGGAGTTTTTGAGGTTCAATACAGTATTGGTTCAGGTTTTGAAGTCTTTGAGGTTCAATACAGTATTGGTTCAGGTTTTGAAGTCTTTGAGGTTCAATACAGCATTTACAATGTATGTGTTGATTAAACCCTAAAAAATAAGAAAATAAAAAAAAAATTAGTACATATACACACAAATGAATATTTTAGTTTAATAATGTCTATTTTATAATTATTTATAAAAAATGTCTATTTTATAATTATAATCTCAACAAATTAAGAATATAAAAGTATTTTACTTATAACAAAATGTACAAAACTGCTTGACGATTAGGCAAGGTGAGCCTCCCAGGGCGCCTTTTCGCCTAGGCATTGCCTTGGCAACTATGATACCTGCATGCCTAGTGTACTGGTGTTGGACATCAAGGTTCAAAGTATCAATATACCTGAGACGCATAAACCTGCATATTGGGTGTTTTGGCTGACCGTAACTTTTTTAGCCCCCCCCCCCCCCCCCCCAAAAAAAAAAGGGGGTCAAGGGTTGGGCTTAGGCCTGCCTACCCTCTGAAACTGGTTAGAGTTGGAGAATCAGTAGCCTGCTGATACAATATGTATCGGCTGATATGTTGCGAAATTTTGATCCTTGTACATGAAACCAACCAGATATTGGATGACCACTTGTAGATTTACTCTATAGCATTAACACTTTCAAAATATGTAAAAATGGTATGTTTTAATAAATTATACTGTAAAAGAATCTGCAAATGTAAATTTGGCAGGACATAATCCTTGATAAATGACATTGAGAATCAAAAAACTAGATATAAAAGCATGACATTTATAAGCATATTGCATGGGTATCATATCCATGCTCGGGATTTTAGGAAATTGAGAATCATGTCCCCATTTCCAATATTCATGTTCAAATCTGTACTTGGGTATCATAGGTTAGCTCTTGAGGTGGTTGGCTGTGGTATTGAACAGAACAGGATTCATGTGGCTGATCCCATATAGAAAGGCTTAGATGATGTTGATGGACAGCCTGAATAAGTGGGAAATAATGAAATATACGAGTATCATGAAATCTGATTTTTTTTGTAACAACATAAAAATAAATTTTATTAGAAGAAAAAGATTGAGTACATCTAATTTAGGTGTTGAGGCAGCACCCAGAATTACAACTATTGATAGACACTCAAGGGAGCTACATTTAGCATTTCTAACACTGCTAAATATTTTCTCCTACTTTTGATCCTGAAATCTGAGCAAATTCTGGTAACACCAGCACCCAGTCCACTACTGTTCTGCTAACATCTGCCAACACTCTTTCAATACTTCAAAACTTATCTTAAAAAAAATCTTCCATTCCTCTCTTTTCAAATTCCCCAACAGATTGCAAACCGAAAGCAACTCCAGCAAATTGTATCCTTTTTGCTTAGTTCAGATTAGCTGAATGTGATGGCTGTGGAACCAATGATAATACCCCACGTCAGTTATAAAATACATGGGGCCCACAGTGAAAGGTTGAATTATTGTGGGCCCATGTATTTTATGTCTGGCGTGGGGTGTTACCATYGGTTGCACAGCCTGCCGAACAGCTATTGTGTTCAGCTAATCCTATCTTCTTTTTGCTACTCTGAAACTCAGCCAACTTGAGAAAATCTCCCCTGAAGAACTAGGCTGACAATATCTAACCCCAAAGAGAGCTGAAAGAAGTGCCAACAAAAATCAGCCACCTTGCATGAAATGAACAAATGATATTCCTCTGCCTCTTCACACTTGTAGCACATACTAGTGAATCCTCTGTGCTTTAAATGATTAGCAATTAAGATTCTATCCATGGCCATGAATTGAATGACCAACTGTCTGTTTGAGAAATGGCTTATGGAAAATTTGAAGGAATGCTATTTTCCTACAAGCTATTCACTTTCTGGAAAATGTGCCACTTTAATGCAATCAAATGTTGTAAAATAGCATATTCTGGTCAGATCATTTATTGTTTTTCATTTTTTGATCAATAATTAGTCACTTTATTGATTAATAAATAAAAGAATAAAGTTTGTTATCCTTCATTTTATGTATGACCAAATGGAAGCTGGATGAATATTGTTCATTAGATAATACTGTTGCACAGTGTTCATAGTTGTTTTAATTGACACTTTATTTTTTAAACAGTGTTGAAGCTTGGCATGTGATGTTTTGAAACCTTTCTATGCACATTTATGATGTCAAACTGCTGCAATATTGTGAATTATTTCTTTGGAGTTGTTCTTTTTTGAGAGAAAGTAACTGAAATTCATTAAGAAAAAAGAGGTACATGAGGAGATGTATAAACAGTCTAGGGGAAACCCCAGGAGATTACACAGGAGGTAGCCTAAACATCTAAGTTAGCACCAATCTTAGCTAAACCATCTGCTACAGAGTTTAGGTCCCTTGGAATCCAGATTTACATTCATGAGATCCAATAAATCCCTCTCCTCCAGAAAATGACTTAAGACTCCACGGCCCAGCCTCTTGCTCCCCTAACCATTTTAGGGTCCCTTTGGTTCATAGTCAGAACCGGAATTGAAATCCCTATCCCTTGGTATTGGAATCGGAATGGTCTATTCCCATAGTCTGTTTGGTTCGAACAGGAATTGGAATCAGCTGAAATGGGATTTCATTCCCAAGGGAGGGGGATGGTTAGGTTCCAAATGGTGATGCCCAAGCTGTTAACTAATCAAATCCCCATGAGGGCAGCTATCACTTCACCTTTAGTAAAGTCAGCAGTTCCAATGGCCTGCTATAAACCCAGCAGATGTTTCTCCTATCATCGCTTTAAGTCTTCTATACCAGCTACACTGGAGTTTCCTGAAGTACTTCCATCGAAGCTCAGAGTCATTCCTTCTTCCCGTCTAACAATTGGGCTTTGGGAAATAGGTGGGGGAGTTGGGGAAGAGAACAGGAAATTGTAAGTACTCTTATTGTCACTTACTGAGATGCCTTTGAACAGATCAGAACTGGAAGCCCACAAATTACAATAATAAGTAATGTGGGAAATTAACTCATCCTGAGATTTGGCCTTGTTATCAAACAAATGATTATTCTTTTCCTCCCAAACACCCCAAAGCACCGCATGCAGCACTGTTTGCCAATAAACCTTACCTCTTCTATTCAGACCTTTGCCTTGTCACTGTTGAAGACAATCCAACATATTATCCGGAGCGGTCCATCTGTAGCCAACTAGCTTAAGAAGTTGCTTTTAGGTGGTATGAGTTCAAAATTGATTTGAAAATTTGAAGATAGCTGTTGGATATCTGTATGTCTTGGATAATGTACCATGAAAAGTGGTGAAACACATAATGCATGATCTCACTGGTACTGGTCTCTAAGGAAATGTGCACCTTGTTTTTGAACCTTGTAAGGATCTAATATTGCTTCCTCTATTTAATATATCTTTAAGTTTTCTCTGTATACTTTTATGTGTCAGATGACAGAAGGCAATATGTGGTTAAATGACACCATTGGAGTTATTCCCAAGAATGCCTGGGCAATAGATCCATTTGGTTACTCAGCTACCATGGCATATTTGTTACGTCGTATGGGTTTTGAGAACATGCTTATACAGAGGACTCACTATGAGCTGAAGAAAGAACTTGCCCTGCACCAGAATTTGGAGTATATATGGCGACAGAGCTGGGATGCTGAGGAAACAACTGATATATTTGTTCATATGATGCCCTTTTATTCTTATGATATCCCACACACTTGTGGGCCTGAGCCTGCTATCTGTTGTCAGTTTGACTTTGCTCGAACACGTAGTTTTCTTTATGAACTTTGCCCGTGGGGGAGCCATCCTGTTGAAACTGACCAAAGCAATGTTCAGGAGAGAGCACTGCTGTTATTAGATCAGTACAAGAAAAAATCGACTTTATACAGAACAAATACACTTCTTGTTCCTCTTGGGGATGATTTTCGTTATATCAGCATTGATGAAGCGGAAGCTCAGTTCAGAAATTACCAGATGTTGTTTGATTATATCAATTCTAATCCCAGCTTAAATGCTGAAGCAAAATTTGGCACTCTTGAAGATTACTTCCAAACCCTTCGTGAGGAGGTAGAGAGAATAAATTATTCCCGTCCTGGAGAGGTTGGTTCTGCCCAGATTGGGGGGTTCCCCTCTCTGTCTGGTGATTTCTTTACATATGCTGATCGAGGAAAGGACTACTGGAGTGGCTACTATGTCTCTAGGCCCTTCTTTAAAGCTGTTGATCGAGTACTGGAACAGACTCTGCGTGCATCAGAAATGATGATGGCATTATTGCTAGGATATTGTCAGAGGTCACAGTGTGAAAAGTTCCCCACTAGCTTCTCCTACAAGTTGACAGCAGCAAGGAGGAATCTAGCTCTTTTTCAGCATCATGATGGTGTTACAGGTACTGCTAGAGATCATGTAGTTACAGACTATGGATCTCGCATGCATGCTTCTCTACAGGACCTGCAAGTTTTCATGTCTAAAGCTGTTGAAGTACTACTAGGGATCCGCCATGAGAAATCAGATCAAAATCCTTCCTTGTTTGAGTCAGAGCAGGTCCGATCAAGATATGATGCCCAGCCAGTCCATAGGGCAATCAGTGCTCCAGAAGGGAGTGCACAGTCGGTTGTCTTCTTTAATCCACTGGAGCAAACAAGGAATGAAATTGTGATGGTTATTGTTGATAGGCCGGATGTAACTGTACTAGATTCAAATTATTCGTGTGTGCAAAGCCAAGTCTCTCCAGAGTGGGAACACAACGAGGACAAGATTTTTACTGGGAGGCATCGATTGCATTGGCAAGCTTCTGTTCCTGCTATGGGGTTGCAAACCTATTATATTGCTAATGGGTTTGTTGGATGTGAAAAGGCTAAACCAGCCAAACTAAAAATGTTCACTTATTCTAAAAACTTACCTTGCCCTACTCCATATACTTGCACAAAACTAGATGGTGACACAGCAGAAATCCAGAACCGACATCAGATACTCACCTTTGATGTCAAGCTTGGTTTGTTGCAGAAAATTAGCTATGCAGATAGGTCCCAAACAGTAGTGGGAGAAGAAATAGGTATGTACTCAAGCTCGGGAGGGGCCTATATATTCAGACCCAATGGTGAGGCTCAACCTATTTGTCAAGCTGGAGGACAGGTTGTGATATCAGAGGGCCACCTGATGCAGGAATTTTACTCTTATCCAAAGACGACATGGGACAAAGCTCCAATCTCCCATAGCACCCGTGTCTATGATGGAGAGAGCACTATTCAGGAATTTGTCATAGAGAAGGAATACCATGTTGAGCTCCTTGGTTCGAACTTCAATGACAAAGAACTGATAGTTAGGTTCAGAACAGATCTTGACAATAAACGGGTTTTCTATTCTGATTTAAACGGTTTTCAGATGAGCCGGAGAGAGACTTGTGATAAAATCCCTCTGCAGGGAAATTACTACCCAATGCCTTCTCTTGCCTTCATGCAGGATTCAAGTGGTCAACGGTTCTCTGTCCACACACGACAATCTTTGGGTGTGGCAAGCCTTAAAAATGGTTGGCTTGAGATTATGATGGACCGCCGTTTAGTCACAGATGATGGGCGTGGTCTTGGACAAGGAGTGTTGGATAACCATCCAATGAATGTAATCTTTCATATCCTCAGGGACTCCAATATCTCATCTATTTCAAACAAAAATTCTACTTTCCTTCCATTCAATCCTTCCCTCCTCTCCCATTGTGTTGGAGCCCACCTGAACTACCCAATGCAGGCATTCATTGCTAAGAAACCACAGGAAGCATCTGTCCAGAAGCCACCAAGATCCTTCTCTCCTTTGGCAGCTCCCTTACCATGTGATGTGCACATTGTGAGCTTTAAAGTACCACAGCCCTTAAAATACTCCCAGCATCACATTGGGGACTCGAGATTTGTTTTAACCTTACAGAGGCGGCAGTGGGATTCTGCCTACTGTCGGAAGGGGAGATCCCAGTGTTCAAATATAGCTGAAGAACCTGTTAATCTGTTCTACATGTTCAAGGATCTTGCAGTCCTGAATGCAAGGGCAACTTCCTTAAATCTTTTACACGATGATACAGAAATGCTTGGGTACGTTGAGCAGTTTGGAGATGTTGCACAAGATGGGCATGTTCTCATATCTCCCATGGAAATACAAGCTTACAAACTAGAGTTGAGGCCCCAACAACAATGAGGTGATTGTCTCCTTTTTGCTGCTGATTGCCACCATTGGCGGAGTAACTTGCCGATTGACTGAAATGAGACCATTTCCCAACCTCGTGCAAGAAAGGTTACACTATTTCTTCCTTGTGCTGTACTAAGTTCAATTGAAGATCTCAGAGTTACCAGCTTTATTCCCCCTTTCATGGATTGTCTGAAGATGTAGGCTGCGAGTCTATTGTATAAATAGTGAGGCCTTGCCCAGAAGATTGGTAACAGACGATTCTTATGAAATGCATAAATTTTTTTTGGGGACCTAGTAAGAAGACTTTGCTGCTGCAAAAGGTTTGGGACACATCGGCAGTCGTACCTGCGGGAAATGTAGTAGGAAAATGACAACCTGTTTTTGCTAGTCCCTTCTTTTTCTTTGTTGAGCATTTTGTTTGATCCTGCGTACTTCAAACAGGAAGTCATGGAATAATATATATGCTGTAATTAGTAGTGTTTTGTTACACAGATAGATATGTGATATCAATGCTTTTCCTGAAGCATTTTATTCCTGGAAACGATCAACTGTCGAAAGGGCATGCATTTGCCTAAGAACGATGGTGCTTGTCCCAACCAGAGTAGTTCAATGCTAGGGGATTGTATTGTTGAAGAGGCTAGAGATATGACATTTACCTTGCAGTAGCGGTTCAATACTATGGTCTCGACTTGTTATGTGGTGGGTTTTATATATGCAGAGGTAAACGAAAGAGTGGCTAGACCAATTGTAGAAGACTAATGACCTCATCTCAACCTAAACCCGATCCAATTGTCAAACGGGATCCATGTCAGCTCTGCCCAGCTCATAACATCTTGCTCCGTGCCATCTCCATAGACCATGGTTTTTAAAAACGAACTGGTGACCGAACCGGTCAGGGGTCCGGTTACCAGTTCGAATGGTCCGACCATTCGACCTGAACAGTCAGCCCATTCTAACAAAAATAAAAAAATTTTAAAAAATCGGAAAACAGTCAACCATTTGAACAGTTAACCGATCGGTTCAGTGGTTTACTGACCAAAATCAACGGTTTTAGGAAAAAAACGGTTTTGGGGTGAAAACAGAACCGGTCAGGTGACTGGTTCCCGGTTTTTCTGGTCCGACCATCCGGTCTGGTTCGGTTTTAAAAACCATGCCATAGACTGGCAGTCTGACACCAGCTGCTAAAAGGAGATTAGGAGAGTGATCATGCTGGAAATCTTTAACTTTCTGTATCACTATATTGATGTGGCAAACACTAAAGCCAGTATAAGAAGGCTTCATTCAACTGTCGATGCTTGAAATTGGTCAAGCCCAGACCCTCCGTTAGAGATTTTAGCTCAGCTCACTAAACCCTAGAACTCAGCTCGGAGTAATCAAACTTGAGTCAATTCGAGTCAAGCAGTTAGTCCAGCCGAGTAGTTCAGGCTTTACAATACCCGACTCAAATGGCTTGTGAGCCTAATCAAGCTTATAATAAAGTGATTTTTAATATATTTGTATTTATAATATAAATAGATATTAATGTTTTGACACTAACTTATTTATAATACAAATAAATAAATAAATAGTAATTGATTTTCATAATACACTTTTATTTATAGTATTTATAGTGTTAATTTATCTATAATTTTTTTTCTATAACTCAACTCAAGTTTTCTAATATGTTTAATATTGATTAATTTACAATCAGCTTGATTTGAGCTTGAGTAGTATTGACTCAAGTAGAGCTCAAGCTGGAAACTTAAAAACTCAATCGAATTTGAGTTGAGTTTCGAGCTCAAAGTTTTTGAGTCGAGCTCCAGCTTGATTCTCATTCAACTTGGCTTGATTACACCCCTAATATGAGACGTTTAGGAAATGACAAATACTTGGGATTAAGATCTATAAAGGCATAAGCATACCAAAGAAAATAGAAGTTTTATATAGATAATAAAGTTAAAACTAAAAATAAACTCAAAATTAGCTCCTCGAGGGGAAAAAGTTGTCCTTAGGGTTCCGTTTGTTTGCAATGCAAATCTGAAGTGAATATAAATTTTGTACCCAGTTCAGTTTTGCATCTGTTTGTTTGTAACTAGACCTGTTCATGGGCCGGATAGCCTGATGGCCCGGCCCGCACCCCGGTCGGTCTTGGTCATGTAATTAGGCCCGTGGGCCTGACCTTGGGCCTAACACAGTAAGCCTGACTGTGTTTCGGGCCGGGCTTGGGATTTGTCAAAAAAGCCCAGCCCGATTCAGCATTATATATTTTATAAAATACGTAATGTGTATTTTATATATTATATAAAATATATAAATAATATAATATTTATTGAAATATATATATTTATAATTTAATATACATTTTTTATTTTTTTCTTTATAATTTTTCTCTCTATTCAGCCGCTTCAGCAGTAGTAACAGCATGGGCTAAATTTCGGGCTCGGGTCCAGGCCCAGGCTTTTTATGAGGGCCGGGCTCGGGCCTTAGAAAAATATGTTAATACAGAGTGAAAGCCCGGCCTGGCCCAGCCCATGAACAGGTCTATTTGTAACCATGATTCTGTATTCCTACCTGATACAAGACTTATTACCTTTTGTTTCATTTGTAACTCACTGGCAGTGCAAATTTTGTATCTGAAAAATTTTGCACCATCTTTCTCCTAACTCAATTTCTCTTATGAAGTAGAGGGACCACATCATCTTGATTCCAACCTCACTCTCAAGGAAATAACCCTCCTCTTACGTCTATCCTCCATATAAGGCGGGGACAATGTTTTACTTCTTATTTCCCTTCTCACAAACAAACAACACAGTCAAATCTGAAGCAAAAGCAAACCAGAATTTGCATTTAGCATCTTTGCACTCATGCATTTACATTAATACGAATGAAATTCACACTGCAAACAAATTGAGCCTAGTTGACAAATCACTTGGGTAACAGTAATAATAGGAATAAAATAGGGAACTGGACTCCACCCCGTAACAAGGAGGCCCAACAAGGGACCAAATTTCCCTTATTATAGAATAATCTCCTCTTGTACACTGACATTGAGAGCCTTATTTGGCAGAACAATGCTGCTAATGATCACAACTTCATCTTCAACGGTCACAGCTTCTCCTGAATTTGAAATCACCAGTGTTAATATAAAGTTAGGATCCCATGTATAATTTAGTCTTCTAAGATAAAGTGAAACAGGTAGAACAAAGGAAATCAGGAATAAATACCTAGGATAGTAATCCCAAGTTTGGAATTGCAATTTCCTTCACCCTGAAGCAGTTGATAAGTCCAGGTCAATTACAATGAAGTGGAAAGAAAATATGCAGACAGAAGGAAAGATCCTTGAGCATATTACACCATATCTTCATTCATGTGAATCAGATCTACTTTAGTTTTGCAAGATTGAGATCAGACTCTCATAGCGGAAATTATATATCTTTCAGTTACGGGTGTAAGTCAGGCACCTGATTTGACTGTTTAAATTTCAACAAAATTCCAACATGAGCTCCCCCAAGTTGCACCCCTATTTTCTGTGCCATCTTTCTAATAATTAAGGAGTAGGGTAAAAATAGTATGACCACATGTAAGCCACTTTTTTTCAGTACCTTCCTGGCTCAATATAAATTTGACCATATATCTAATATCCCTGCCAGTTTTTGCACTGGCATGCAACTTACAATGAAACTACAGTAGAATGTATATTTTAAATCACTGATTATAAATAAACAAACTGAGAATAACTTGTTGGGTGGTTTGTTGTGTGTATGTGTACGTTGGGGGAGGGGGGTATTCTTGCCTGAACTCGTGACCATTTACCAATGGATGATTTCCACCCCACAATAGAATGTATAACAACTGCATTTTCCTGTCAGAGAACAGAAGACCACAAATGGGTAAGTCTTGATGCAAGCATTCGTTGATGGCTGACATATCTTTTAAGACAATCTCATACCTTAATTTCAACATCATCCAGGATAATGCAATTGATGAGTCTTACCCCTGCTGCTATTCGAGCATTTGCAGAAATTGAAACATCTGGACCAATCTGTTTAAACAGAGGAGCCAAGTCAGTTTATTGTACTAAATAAACAAGGCATCCAAAATTGGTTTGTTTAGGGGATACAACTATGGGGACTACAGAAACCTTCAGTAACATCAAATTATCTGGCTTAATAATATGAAAATTGAAATATTGATACCCATATAGTACTATGTATGAATACCGGGCTAGAGATATCAGAGGAGAGGAGGAAGATAGAAAAAATTGGATTCAAACATGTAGCTGGTGGCGCCAGCTATTAGCTTATATATTAGGGCGACCCAACTAATAATAAAATGAAAAGAAATTACAAGAGTGCCCCTGTGGCACTAAAGAACAGGAAAACTCAAATAAAAAACTTAAAGAGAAGTTGCTAACTGATTTCAACATGTAATAAATTGTTAACGAAGTACCTTTCCTGTTCATCATCATCATCTAAGTCTTGTCCCAACTATATGGGTCAGTTACATGAATCCTGTTTCTCCATTCCATTCTGTTCAGTGCCATATCCATTATTAAATTTTTTTTTATCAATGACAGTGAATTTTATTAATGGAATAAAAAGTTACAAACCAAGGGAGCTAAACAATCTTAACTCCTAGAAACAACCAAGGTACACCCAAATTAAAAACAAGGGTAAATTACAAAGACCCCCCCTATATTATGGGGTTTGTGACAAATACCCCCCTGTACTTTGTTTTGCGACAAAGACCCCTTGTACTATGACCGTGATACAAAGACCCCCTTCTGTTAGCCTTCCGTCTAAAAAGGCTGTTACAATATTTTTTAATCCCCATACTACCCTTGTAATAACTATTTGGACAAGAAAAACACTGTTCATCTTCCCCAACCTCACGATACACTTAACAGCAGCGGCGGACCGGCAGTAATCCCCTCTACCTCAGATTCCTTCACATTTCTATCTCTCTCTCTCACCCCTCCCCCCCGATCTCTCTTCTTCCCCTTCCCCTTAACAGCGTCAGGATTGAACCTATTTAATTTAATCCTGCTCCGTTTCACTAAGAGTATTTCGATCTGTAAGTGATCAATTCAGATCAATTGAGAGAGACGATTGAGAAAGCTTGAACTCGTGACAACCACAACACCATAAGTGGCTGAGCAAATAATTCTACCAGCAATCTCATGGCTCTGGGTATTTGAATATTTAGCTCTGTCTGCAACAAAACAAGCTATTCCCTGGAGCTCAAGCTCTGATTTAAGCCACCTTACATAAGCATATCAGATTGGAATTCTGGCCATGGAAGCCTATATAAACATCACAGCTCCTGACTTTTGCATTAAGAGAGTTAGAAACTGAGGTTTTCGCAAAGGACAGGTCACAAATTTAAGCTTTTGGTCAGATGAGTCATCACAGAAATCCAATCTTTCTGGTGGAGGGGTGTAGGAAGAGCTTGGGATGTCATCAGATACAGGGCCACAGTAAGAAACCGGAGGAGATGGATGTGTTGCTGGAGTTGGGTTTTCTGGCATAGTAGATGGGGTCGCGTTTTCTGGTGTAGTAGATGGAGTCACGTTTTCTGGGGGTGGTGGAAGCAAGGCCCTTGGACATATGTAAGGCGATTGTAAAGCTGAAATGAATGCTGATGATGGTGGGGAGAGGAGGGATGGGGAATTCAATGGGGATGGATTATTCAATTGAGCTCTTTATGCATGGTGAAAGCAAATAGAAAGGAGATACAGGGAGAGATTTCTTACTACTCGATTGGCTGCTGCAGGAACTTGATGTCCTGATGGTCAGAGGCTTAGTTGGAACTGCAGATAGCTTGTGGGCCTCTCAGATTCAAAAGTTCAAAGCCAAAAACTTTTTCAGCCACGGAAGAAGATCCGAGTGGAGAAACAAAAACAAAGCACATTTCGCAAGTGGGGCACACACCAATGACCAACCCGATACTCTTCCTCTACATCCACATCTCAAAGACTCAAGTTGACACAAGGATGAAGGTCACAAGTTCGCGGAAATCTAGTTCAAGGAACAAAGAAATGACCAATGGTTTCTCTACTTGATCCCCATGATGCAGAAGCAAAGATGATAAACAAGCATACATCATAAAAGATCCATCATCAGACAAACCAAAATATTATAGAATCTACCTGCAACTTTCTTCCAGTTCAGGCATAAGGATAAAAGAGAGAACCCTTCTCTTCAGCAGCCTTACAAAACTATTCTTTCTTTGTCTCTCTCTCTAGTGAAACTGTAAAATTTCTAGGGACAGGGAATCTAATTCCTGGGCTCAATCCATTAGTATTTGAAATATAAAATAATGAAGCAGTGCTTGGAAAGGAGTAGCAGAGGGGTAAGAAGATGTAGTCTTGAGTTTCGTTGGATAAGAAGTTGTAGACTATCGAACGGATGAGCATCACCGATGCAGCCAGAGAGGCAGCCGTCGATAAAATTGTTTTGGATGAGACTACACTGTTTTCAGAAAACATCGTTTCGACTTTGGAATCACGAGCTGGGGCTTGAGGTATTTGAAGATCACTTCAAAATTAACTCAAATAGCGAAACACCTCTCTCTCTCTCTCTCTCTCTCTCTCAATCGATCTGAATTGATCACTTACGGATCGGAATACCGTAAGTGAAACGGAGCAGGATTAAATTAAATGGGTTCAATCCCGAGGCTGTTAAGGGGAATAGGAAGAAGAGAGATTGGGGGAGAGAGATAGAAATGTGAAGGAATCTGAGGTAGAGGGGATTACCGCCGGTCTTCCGTTGCTGTTAGTGTATCGTGAGGTTGGGGAAGATGAACAGTTTTTTTCTTGTCCAAATAGTTATTACAAGGGTAGTATGGGGATTAAAAAATATTGTAACGGCCTTTTTAGATGGAAGACTAACGGAAGGGGGTCTTTGTCTCACGGTCATAGTACAAGGGGGTCTTTGTCACAGACCCCATAGTACAGGGGGGTCTTTGTAATTTATTACAGCACAACTAAAAACATAGAGTTTCTGTTCATCCCTTGCATAGCTAGACCATCTGCCAATGAATTTGCCCTTCTCTTTACCCATGTACATTGAATTTCAAGTTCCTTAGTCAGTCACTTAAATCTTCTCTTTTCATTGCTTTACTTCCAAAGCCTAGAGTTGTCCTCTTTTAGCCAGTTCACCACAGAGTTATATCATTGGTTACTCTAACTGTTCCCTTCCTGGCAATGGGCATATGTGAACCATCTGCTGTAGAGACTCTGTCTCTACCAGAGCACAACTGATAGGAATTGAAAAGGGTAGGGGCATTAGTCATGTGCTCAGATGCTCCTGAGTCTATAATCCAAGGAGGTCCCTCCTTACCTAAAGTGGATGCAAGATTTGCAGTTGCATATGAACTACCTGTATGTGCAAAGGAAGTGGTGTAGTTTGCTCCTGCATTTTGCTGCCATCTGGAAGGCTAGAGCTAGGTGATTCTTTCTTACTCATAAGCTGTCCAAACCTCTCCAGTTCTGTTCTCACTGCTGCTATTGCAATGTATTTCTAATCAGTTTAGGAAAGAGGGGTTGAAGAGTCTCCTGTAGTGGCTACATTTGCACTTCCCTTCTTGTTTCTTATCCGAGTAGGCATAAGATTTGGATGAAACTTCCAACAAGTGTCCCTGTTATGCTTAGGCTTCTTGCAATAATCACACACCAAGTCCTTCTTATCTTCCCTTCTAGTCTCACTACTCCCTCTATCTCCATTCGATTTAGGTTTTGTTGTACCAACCATAACCAAATGGTCAATCCCAGGCTGTCTCAGCATACATTCCTCTAACTCTCCTCTCCAGAGACAAAGGCATAGGCCTGAGAGAGTGTCACACCCTCTCTAGAAAGAATATGCTACCTAGCAATGTCAAATTCAGGGTTCAGCCCTGCCAAGAACTCAAAAACCCTATTCCTCTCTACCAGTTTGTGATAGGTTGCTACATCATTTACACTTTTCCATACCACAGTTTCTAAGTGATCTATTTCTTGCCATAGGGTTTTCAGCATGGAGAAATACACAGCAAGAGGTTTTTCTCCCTGTTTCATACTTCTCACCTGATTTCTTAACTGATAGGCTCTGGCTTCATTTTGCTTCTGAGAGTAGGTTTCAGTCACTCCATCCCAAATCTCCTTAGCAGTATTAGCCCATAGGAAATGTTTTGCAATATGAGGTAACATAGAATTACACTACCAGGACATTACCATGTAATTCTCCTACACCCATCGGGAAGAGTCCGTATTAGGTTTCTTCTCCTCCCCAATGAGATAACCTAATTTTCCATGGGCACCAATAGCCATCTTAGTTGATTGTGCCCACTCCAAATAATTTGTACCATCAAATTTTACTGTAGCAATGATCACAGACCCAAAATTATCACTACTACCTCCAACACCCAATCCCACAGTACCAGTAGATTTCATCTCGGTATTCCAACTCTCCATCTTACTTCAAACAGTTCAACAGTAAGAAAAAAAATAGATTGGAGACCTTCAAAAAATAATTTAATATCACACACAGAAACCAACCCTTCCGGAAGAAGAAAACCCTAGTTGGAGAGAAATTTCTCTCCTCCCCATGCCTCCCAACAGAGAGGAGTAAATCGATCACTTCGGGAGGCTCAGAAAATTCCAAAAACCAAATCGCCCTCTTCAGAAAATCAAAAGAAAACTAACAATACTTGGGCGCCCAAGACCATATCAAAATCAAAGAGTCCAACTTTTCTGGGACTCTTCCCCGTACTCCAATTCTTCCTAATTTTGATGCCGAACAGTAGATCACCTTCCTGATGACTAGATCCCACAAAAAAATCCAAGAACTGGGCAATCTATAGTAGATCGATCAGCCCTTTACTACTTCATGTAGTCGGCTAATCTAGGGCTGCATGAGAATGCTTCAAGAAACCCTAATCGATGCTCTGATACCAAGTAGAAATCTGCTGAATTAAAAAATATGAAAGAAAAGTAGTTTCTTGAAGAGAGAAGGAAGAGARAARGAGAAGAAGAGAAGTTGAAAAGAAAAGAGAGCAATAATCTGGCCGCCCCCTTCACTTATTATTTATACTAAAAATAATAGAACAGTACAAAGACAACTATGCCCTTATAGGGCGGCAAAACATAAAACAGCATATATAACACTCAGAAACATAATAAAATTTGGACTCACATAACTACTGTGGTCCCCATCTCCTATTTAACAACTAACATAAAACATCTACTCAGAAAAAAACATCATAAAACAGATTAATCTTCAACAGGGTCTTTTCCTTTGATGCAAATCTCCTGTATTAACTCTTTCCAGAAAGGCTTCCTAACAGAAACTCCCAACCTTCGGAGGTATAGGTTGACACCACACCTCTTTAACAAGAAAGGACAGTCCAACAGAAGATGGTTGTAATAGGGCTTTAAAGAATGAGGCATAAGTGAAGGAACCTGAGGGAGTGAGTGTCCAGATTCTACTGTCTGCCTTTGTTGGATCTAGGAAAACCCTATCAAGGATGGATAGTAACGATAAAGTACAGTCTAACTTTGAGTCCCTTATGTCTCTTCTCAAACCCAAGTTCCAACCAAACCCAAAAGTTGAGTTGGAAGGTAGAACTAGTTCATTTTTAAGGGAAGTAATAGCAAAAAGAGCCAGAAATTAGTCTTTTAGAGGAGACTTTCCAACCTAAACATGTTCTCAAAATTTAATGAGATTGCCTGAGTGTAAGTCATACCTGATCTAGGGAGAGAACAAAGGCAAAATAGCTTGAATAGCTTTCTAGGGACATGCTCTTGTAGTCATTGTCAAAATCCCAGAGTCCCATCCATTGTCTGCAATCCCATGAATACTACCCACTATCTTAACCCAAAGATTTTCTTTCTCCAATGAGAATCTCCACAACCATTTCCCTAGTAGTGCCAAGTTCCTATTCCTTATGTTCCCAATACCCAAACCTCCCTCCTTGCTTCTACAAACCACCTCCCACCTAACCCTATGGTCCTTCTCCTCCCCTGGCTCCCAAAGGAAATCTTTCATTAGTTTTTTCCACCTGTTAGCCACCCCAACTGGGACCTTAAAGATTGAAAAAAAATAAACTAGAAGGTTAGCCAATGTAGACCTAATTAGGGTGATTCTCCCTCCCATAGACAGATAATTTTTCTTCCATGTGGCAGGCCTCTTCTCAAACCCCTCCACAACCGAATCCCAAAACTCTCCTTTCTGAGGGTTATCTTCCAATGGCAAACCAAGGTAGTTCCATCATTAAATTTGGGTGCTTAAATTCTTTCTTACTACTTCCATCCAAGTCCCTTTTGGCCTATTCCTAGCTCTTCTAGCCCCTCCAACTTGTAACATATCACTTCTTCTAACGGGTGTCGTAGATGGTCTTCTATGCATGCAACGAAACCATCAGTCTACTTTGTCTCATTTTATCACCCATTGGGGCTACCCGCTACTCCTAGGTTTCTTTGTATGACTTAATTTCTAACCATTCTCTTCCTAGTTTTACCACTCATCCATAAGTGCATACATTTCTGCCACACTCATTTTGTGGACATGATGTTTCTTAATTGCCCAACATTCTGCTCTTTTCCAGTTTTAATGAGTCTAAAAAAGAAGGAACGGAAAATAAAAACTCTTGTTTCCAAAACCATCCACAAATTTAAAAATTTCATGATGGAATTTCTTAAAAAAGATCCAAAGAAATCATAATGTGTTATGACATATTCTTCCCATACCTATGGATAGACTAAAGTCCCTTGACCATTGAGAAAACATATTTTACATTGGGGAAGAGGTGGAAGATGATGAGCTCTGGATCTTCATTTTGGTGCATGCACTCAGATTATCATGAATTATTTGAGAGATCAAATAGTCAAATATCTTTCTCTTAGAACTTTGAAGTAACTCCCAAGAATTGCATTCTGTGTGTGTACTGTTTCTGTGCGTGTGCATGCACAGAACTGGGGAAGGGGGTGATTGGGGGCCATACCCCCCCCTCCCCCCCAAAAGAAGAAAAAAAAACCAAAAAACTGAACTAAATTTAGGACCTATGTATAAGGTAGACCCCACCAAAGGTTTAGAAGTTTCTCCAAGGTGACACCCCCAAGGAAACATTCCTAGGTGGGTGTGTGTAACATATCGCAGAAACTGACAGGAAACATGACATGATGGAGCACAATGGCAGGACAAGATTTGTCTGGTTGAAACCAAATAGTTAGGATTAAGGCTGAATTTAGTTGAGATATATTGCAGAAACATTTTTTTTATCAGTAAATATGTATTTTATTAAAATTCAGATTGTAAGCAGTTTATACAACTTGATGATGGGACTGTTGATCCCCTTTAATCACTCTATTCACCCCTCATTACAGTTTAGCCCAAAATAATTGCTGTCTCAATGCCCCTTGTTTTGCTAACCCATCAGCTAGCCCATTTGCACTTCTTCGGACCCATTTAAATTCAGCCTCAACCTCCTTTGCAATCTTCTCCACTTCCCTAATCACATGTTTAWACRTCCATGRGGTGTGGCTGCTATTTGTTGCCCATGAAATTACTACTTTTTAGTCCCCTTCCACTTCAACATGTCTGCATCCTAGTTGTTTGGCTAACTTTAACCCTCGTAGTAATGCCAATTGTTCAGCCTTCAGCGAGTTTCCGTTGCCAATCGGTCCTGAGAATATACCCAATATCCTCCTGTTGGAGTTTCCTAATACTCCTCCTATTCCTGAGATGCCTGGATTTCCATATGAGCACCTGTCAAAATTCAGCTGTACTTTATTGCCTTCAGGTGGTTTCCACTCCAGCCTTACTTTATCTCTTACTCTCGAAGATTGTGCTACTTCGGACCATGTTCTTATAATATCTGCGACTGAGAAGACTTGAAAGCAGTCCAAGAGTTTTACCCAATGGGCTACTTTCACCTTGATACTATCAATCACTTCCTCTACTGTTCTACTTTTTTCCAAGAAAATTCTGTTGTTCCTCTCTTCCCATATTACCCAACAAATTGCTGCCTTTGTTGCTTTCCACATTACCATCCCTCTTTTCTTTCTATATTGCATAAACATTATTTAATCACAGAAAAAGAGCAAAAAACCAATTCTACGCATGAAGGGCAGAAAAACTTAGATGTAAAAAGTAAATCCATAACTATACATGGACAAAAGCAAGTAAATAAAAGAAAGTAATAAAATCATATTAGGAGCAATCCCCAATACAATTCAGTTCTGTCCACTCCTCTTCCTCTAACTAGGCTTTTAACCAAAGAGTTATTTTACTTCCTAGTCCACCTGAACAAGATGTTCAATCTGGATGTCAGGGCTCTTGCCTCTTGCACAGTTTGAAAATCTGTCTGATTACACCACCCATAATAACCCGCAACTCATCTCTATACCACCAACTGGTTTCAGTCAATAGATGACATCAACCTGAAAATCTTACAGTGAGGCTTTATCTTAGCACTAACCAAGCCACTCAACCCAACTAGACCTGAGTAAGCCAAAAGAGTGTCTTTTTTAAGGCTTTCCCCTGACTCCTGTTGTCCCAGGTTTTCCCAGGAGGGCTTAAGAGCTCCTTTATGGTTTTCTTCTCTTTTTTACTTTTTTTTTTCTTGGGGGGTTATGAAATTCTTAATCATCTGATGGCAAACCATACAAGTTCCTATGAGTAAGTGTAATGCTCTGATGCCATTTGTTCTTTAGCTGAAGACAGGGAAAAACTAAAATACCTTTGCAGTTGGATGAACTTTTGCTGATGGATGAACATAAACATTACCAATAATGGTAGCATTCTTGGCACCGTCCCCTTGTGCCAGAAGATGGGGAGAGGTGAACCGGAACTGTGTAAGATACAAGGCAGAACATCTCAAAGACATTCTGTAGGTACAAACATAAATTCAAATAAGTCATCCCATGAAACAAATACGAAAGTAAAAACTAAAAGCGGAAAAATAGAGAATTAAGGAGTATTGCTCTACCCTGGAGTCTTGATCTGTTCCCAAAAGTCCATGTTTTTATATATATATAGCTGCTTCTTTCCAGCAAGAGGCGACAGGATGTCTTGATCCAATCTTACAAAATCTGTAGGAATGGTCCTGAGATTGATCTTATTTTAGCATAATGCTTGAAAGGAAATTATGCTTCAATCAACATTCAAATACCAATGGGTCCAAAGCAGGAATGTAAATGAGGAAAAATTATTGATTATTTTGAACTCTAAACTTAAATAATATGTTAAACCGTGCAGGTGAGAAAGTAAATACTACTCAGAAAAAAAATAAAGTACAACAAGGACCTGTCACATGGCAGAAAAAGATAAGTTCAAATAGGGACACTTCCTACTGACCTGAAAAGTGAAACCTTTTTTCCTACAACAATGTTAATATTTAAGGCCATAAAAATTAATTAAGTATTTTCCAGGTAACTATGCTTTACTGACACCCTTGGGATGTGCAAAATGTTGACATTTTGGATAGCCTGAGTGTGATCCTAAGTGGGTGGAAGTGTTCTTTCTGTAGCAAAGAGGTACATGGGTTAGCGACTATAACATTACAATAAGCTTCCCTTCCCATACATGCCAAATAAATAATGGACCTTGGAAGTTTATATCAAACAACTAACCGATGAAAAAAACCTTAGACCAAATTGATGCCTCAGCAAACTGTAGGCAAAAATATATCCAACTTTATTACTGTATGCAATCCTTTTACTCATGATGGCTTGAAAGAATTATGTTATGATTCTCCTTATCACAAAAGTCAAGTGATGGATGGTCTGTTCCACCAGTGATATCATATGTGATACCAATGTTACAGTAATTTTGCACGTTGGCGACAAATTTTCGGGATCAGCCTGGCAAAATCCAGGTAGTTATTCTTATTGGAGTCACATATGACAAAGCTCAAGAAGAGAAAGCATGAAATATTCTATTAATTAAATTGCACCTATTTCTTACTTAGTGGTCAGTTTGGTGGCAATGTCAAACTTATTTTGAAATCATAAAATGGATATCATATCCCTTTTGTCTCAAAAATAGGATACCACTCAACTACATCCTTTATGCAATATTAATGATTTCTTAATGAAATAAGAAAATGTGTAAGCCTCTACCTCATTCTATCACCAACTTCAATAAATCTTTATTTGAACTATTTGAATGGGCTGCTTGTCATTGAATTATACTCTAGCCCATAAAAGATGCTTGTGAAATGTTCTCTCACTACATTAGTAAACATCTTTGTTGGTCTTCACCTCATTCATAGAGGCTCCAACCTGCATTGTAGTGCTCCTCACCACTGTTGTCATTCTCTTGTATCAGGATATTATTCTTATTAACAAAAGCAATTTCAAAGAGGTTTCCTCAAATCAAAGGACTGAAGATATTTAAGCTTGAATGTCTGATTCCACAAGTAAAATGAATGAAAACAAATATGGAAGTTGTATAAGGTATGTTAATCTGTAAGTTGTGACTGTTAATGTAATGTGATTCCAGAACACTCAGAATTTTTGTGCCTGAAAAGTATAGATACCACAATGCCATACTTTGTTGCTGACTGGAGGGCTTCAAAACTGGACATACGCCTTAGATTAGCTGCAAATAAAAATGAAAAATTCAGATATCTATAGACTGGAGTCTTAATATCTATTTTATCATGAAAGACTAGACTATGCCATTAGATCTTCACAAATTTCCATAGATGTATCTAATTTCTGTTTGATACTGCTGCTATATAAAGTATCCATATATATGAAAGTGAAAACAAAATTTGAAAAATGATATTCAGAAAGAGGAGATTTTTTTTAGGATGAGTAAGAAGAATGAGAATATAATAGAAGGCCAAAACATAAGAGTTTGCCTTGCTTTCTATAGTTTTATCACAAAAGATTAAGCTATGTTGTTAGAGCATCTCAAATTTCCATAGGTGTATCTAATTTCTATTGGATACTGCTGCTATATAGGAAATGAAAATAAATGTGAAAAATGATATCCAAAAGAGGAGTGTTTTTTTTTTTTTTAAGTGGATGAACAAGAAGAATGAGAATATAATACGAGGCCAAAACAGAAGAGGTTGTCTTGCCTTCTATACTATCTATCCTTTGGTGATTTAGAAAAGTGAGAAACCAAAAAATATAATAAGCTGACCACTTTGAATTTCAAATATAAAAAAAAAGTCAGATTTCATTTACATGGAAGTGTTAAGTTCATAGCTGAAAACAAGAGAAAGGAACCGTTAGATGGATTACAAGATGGGGGCAGGTTCTTGGAAGTATAAAAACATTACTGATAAAAAAAAAGGAAAATCAAGGAGAGAAAGAACATAAAGCACATAAATATAATTCAAAATTTTGTCTTAAGGTTCATCTTAAAACTTGCTATTAAAGATTTTTTAAAGGTGTCTTCTATTTCTTTTGAAAAGGTATCAGTATATCTTCTAATAAAGATTTAGGCTCTCAAAAGTGTGTTTAAAACATAGAAAAATATGAAATTTACTGGCAATAATTTTTTTTCTTATCCATTCATCAGCAACCCACTGACAAATACTCCCAGTTACAACAAACCTCTGTCTTTCCGTTGTGTGGAGACATTCTGGATGGTGGTAAAGATATCTGGTGTGAATATGTACACACCACAGTTTATTAGATCACTTACCTGCAAAAATTGGTCAGGTAACAGTGACCACAATGAAACAGGGTGATATATGGCAAAATATTAACAATTTAAAGCACAGTTCTCAAGGCATGTATAATGAGATAAACTCAAGAGCATTCATGTAAGCCAATCCCATTTAGTTGGGACAAGGCTTAGATCATCATTACATGATGAACTAAATCTATTGATACAGAACCTAAATACTCAACTCAACTAAGCCTTATCCTATGAGACACTTGATATTCTAAAACCAGACCTTATCCAATTAGTTACAAGATTGGGAACTTGAGTCTCATATTTATAGACCCAATCCATTTTCCTTGTAGAATTAAATGGGCCTGGGCTGGATCAACCTTGGCCCAATAGGAACTGATCTTTTGGTAGGCAACCTTACTTTCTAGGTGGTTTCCTAGGTATTCCTTGAGTGACCACATTATACTGTAAGAAAATATTCCTTGGGTGTAGAGTGAGTGCTCCAAGATTGTTGTCTATTGGGGTAGAGAGAAAGTGCATTCTATAGCTGCAATCTTTTGGTACGTTGCAGCTCTGCAGTTCACAGCGTAGTGCTTACTCCATGGCTGCACTGTACCATATAAGAAGCATCCTTTTTTTTTTTTTGATAAATATAAGAAGCATCCTTTATGCATTGTATATGCTAAACTATGCAAGAAGTGGAGTATTGGTTTATTGAATATACATCTTTTCAATTTTTTTTTGAGTTTAATATTGTATGCTACCTTGCTACGTGAAATTTAAGATTCCCTAAGTACATTGTCATATTTATGAACTTGACTAATTAAGTATACAATTATATGTATGAAAGTCACTCATTTGAGTATTCTGTCACATACCTCTGTAATGAGAAACTCAATTTTTTATGCATTAAATTGATGAGTAATAGATGAATATATAATGTGAATGCCTGAGGCCTCAACTTGAGAAACCAAATTCCAAATGAATTCAGATATGTTAACACTAGCTGAATATCTGGTTTGTACATACAAAAGTCTCAGGTTTCTCCGTGTAATGCAACAGCTCATTGGTAGTGGGATCAGCAACCAATTCACCAAACTGGTTGGCTGATTCAGCAGAAACCTGCATAAAAGAGTAATGAAATTTCAGCATGGCGAAAGACAATGAAATGCAGATACTAAAGGGTTATATTTACCCACAAGGGTAGGTAGTGAGGGATAACCTACAAAAAAGGGGTGCTTGGCATAGTATCTTTGTATATCATTCTTTTATTCTTAACAATTTGGTACAACTTCTTGGTTGTCACCAATCATAAAAAAGGGCATTCAAGAAGAAGGATTCGTGGATGCAATAGCCAACCTTTGTTACTAAGATTGTTCCCATCCCACCATATCTCCTATGGGCGTCTGCACATGTGAAGGCCAAGAGCTAGCAGTTAAAATTTAGAAAAGCCAATCACGAATTTGGAAAGAGGAACTTGCAGCACGAAAACAATTACTGCTTTCTGCATACTGAGCCATTAATGCATGGAACTACACAATATATATAGGAAGAAATATTAGCATGATAAATATCAAATTAGCAGTAGCGAGGAAGAAAGTTACCAAGCATGCCTGGCAGTGGAAAACTGCAGCAAACATCACAATTCAGCAAAAAAATGTGTGACTGCAACAAAAATAAAGAAGATTGATACAGGGAAAACAAAGTTGGCAGAAACTCCTTTTTCCATTTTTTTTTTGTTCAATTACCAGAGAATATACATGAAATAAAGCAAGGAGTACAAGATCCAAACCGGGTTGTCTTCCATGATCAGATCTCTAAAATTGTAAAGTCCACCAGCTGAACCATGTGGTTTGTCCTCTCTCAAGTATCTGAAGAAGCAGCAGCAACAACAATAACAACCAACAGTATAAGATCCCAAAATCTAGACAATTTTTTTTTAATCTTAAGTAAAATAACATGAGACATAAGAACATAGTATCCAACTTACCTTACAGGGACTTTCAATTCATTAGAGATTGAAGAGACATATAACGCGAATTCCCGCTCTTCATAGAAGCCAATGAGATAAATTTGTGCCAAATCTGGGATCTATAAGAGTTCTCATGATCTCAATTAACATACAACTGTGAGTTCTACAACTGTAATTTCCATAGGGATTTGAGAAGTTACCCTTTTGCAAGCTGAAATTGGGTGATGAACCATTGGTTGTCCTGCCAATGGAAAAAGCGGCTTTGGGATATTCAAAGACAGAGGCCGAAACCGGGTACCTGCGAAATTCGAATATAATTATCAGGAGGCATGTAAAAAGAATAAAAATTTCCAACAGTTCAATCCAAAGATCATAACGTTCAAATAACAAGGCAAGTCCGTAAAATTCCAACCAATTTCGTACCTTTAGTCGGTCCACCAAGCATGATCACAGCAACAACTCTCTCTTCCGAACTCCACATCTTGAAGAAAAAATAATACTAGATCTCTAAACCCCTAGCTCGAATCGTTTAAAACTAGAGTTGCTCTCTAACAAACCCAGAAAATTTAAACGAATCAGAGGAGAACTCCTTTCTTTACACTACTCTCAGAACCTTCACATACAAAAACTGAAAGGCGGACATGGCCAAAATGTCATTAGATTAAATTCGCAGTTCAAAAAGAGTTCCAATGCTCTAATAAAAATTGCAACCATTGCGGCAACTAACACACACAGAAAGGTAGCGGCTTAACTGTAGTGTATAGCCTATCCAACAACAATGAGTTGAGGAATGAGTGGACAGTGGAGTGGTGGTGTCAGCCAATGCGATGTAATTGTAATTTGTTGGTAGAGAACCAATAAGCACAGATGAGAGAGAGAGAGAGAGAGTTTGCAAGCGGAAGCACAGGTTCCATCGCCCTTCTTTTTTCTTCTTCTTCTTATCGTCTTTTATGGTCCGGTTTGAGGTTTTTTGATTGTGTGGGACTGTCATTTCAAGTAGGCCCTACAGCCATTATAAATGTATGGTGTGCGTACGATGCATTTGTAAAATGTAATGGCGTACAAGAAAACGAAAGGGCAATTCGTATACTAGCAATTTTTTTTGGTAATTGACTATCTCCACCCTCCTGTTTGTAAATTGTAAATACTCTTGACTAAATCCTATTATCGGTAACATTCGTTAACGGAAAAGTCGAAAGGACGAAAAAGACCATTTAACCTGTCATTCTCAGATATTCTACTTTGGCTTCAATTTCAAATATGCCCTGAAACCGCATTCGCCAGTCTTTGGTTTCAGGCATGGTTTTCAAAACCGGATCAGACTGGACGGTCGGATCGGAAAAATCGAGAACTAGTCATTTTGGTTAATAAACCGCTGAACCGGTTGGTTAACGGTTCGAACGGTTTTGACTGTTTTCCAATTTTTTAATTTTTTTTGTTAAAATGAACTAACCGTTCGGATCGAACAGTCAGACCGTTCGAACCGGTAACCGGACCCCTGACCGGTTCGGTTTTAAAAACCATGGCTTCAGGAGCCAAGGAAGTTGCTCCACTAAGGAGGTTTACAAGTTAGGAGTCAAGGAAGTTGCTCTTTTCAAATGGGTCTGAAGCATGTTCTGTTCTCTCTTGAGCATCGGAATTTTTTATCATATCATGGAGTTTCTTTTTTTTTTTTTAATTTTTGTAAGCAATAACACTGAGAGACTTTTCAGAAATGGCTTTGTTGGGTTGTGAATTTTCTTCCAACGCCACTTCACAATCACAACCCGGGTTCATGAATGTTCCTCCGTGTTCATGAATTTTTTTTCTAATGTATTAAGCAGACATAAAAAAGAGCGATTGCATTCCCGATCTGGAAATTCTCTGAACTTGCACTCATTTTTTTCTAATGTATTAAGCAGAGGATCTTTGGATGGAGATCACGTTCATCTCTCTAAGGAAGTCAGAGATGTCTAAAACAGAGCCTTGGAAATGGTGCCTTGAGAGGTGTTCTCTGAAACAATAGTTGGTAGTTCATTCAAGAAGAAGAGTGGTTTCTCTCTTCATCATATCTATATTTTTTTCCTTTATTTTTCAACCTAAGATGTTATTTTCTGAGTAGTTATTTCTGTTAATTTTAAGTTTTTAATATTGTGAGCTTGGGTTGCATCAGCTTCTTCGTCCAGTTTTGAATGATTACAACTTTCCGGTTTTGCGTTTTGCCTGCTTAATACATTAGAAAAAATAAACACTACAGTTTAGAGAATTTCCAGATCGGGAACACAATTACATTGGGAACCTTTCAAATGAGACAGAGATAGAGTTGGAGTCAGAGTCAAAGTTGGAGTCGAAGACAGATATGGAATCAGAGACAGTGATGAGACGGAGATGGGGTCGGAGTTAGAGTTGGAGTCGGAGATGGAGACGGTGACAGACATAGAATAGAAGTGGATTTTCATTGTGAACAGAGAGACCGTGATAGTTTTCAAAAGGGTATTTTAGGAACTTTCAAAAATATATCAGTTACTTAATGTTACATGTGAATAATGTGACAGAAAATTAACCGAAAGGAAGGTTTTAGACAATTGTCAAAAAAATTAGAATATTTTAAAACAATATGTAAACAATAAAAATATAATTAGTCGTAGGAATAATTCAAGAAATTTACCCTTTTTAATTCTTTTCCAAAAAGTAAAATTCATTATGACGTCACATGGAATATCCAAGATTCCACTTGAATTGAATAGAAGACAACAATGTAGAATTACATTACAAGTTCCAATGTCTTTGGTTTTTATCCGTACCGAGAATCAAACAAGTAAAAGGAAGCCCAAAAGCTGGAAACTACTTTGATAACCAGCAGGCAGCACCAAGGTGATCGTGTTCCAATTAAATTGAATTTGTCCCTCCTTGGATCCAAGAGGAAAAACAGACAATTCTATAGCTGATTAGGTATGTGTTTGGAATCGTGAACGTTTATTGATTAAACATTTTGTATTTGATTTATTTGGAAAACCAAGAAAAACAATGATAAACTCATTTATCGCACTTAGACACCATTAAACGCCACATCAGCAAAGCAGTGAATAAACGTCTAACCGTTGGGGGAAGCGTTAAAATAAAGCATCCCCCAATGGTAGGCATGCACATAAATCGAAGTCTACTTTTACAAGTCCCTATGTGAATGGATTCACATAATGGGGGAAATGCTGAAGTAGGGTCTATGTGGCAGTATTTATTCAATAAATGCCCATAGTTCCAAACACACGCTAAATCAAAGAGGCGCTAAGAAATCAAATGATGATCAGATCAAAATCCTCTCTCTCGTAATGCTTTGGTAGGAAAGACATGGTGCAGCATAAAAATTGAAAAAATCTATGATGCAGGAAAGACATAATACTGGAAAGGTTATGACCAATCACAACCCTCAACGAATTTGATAAAAACCCATATGATTTGTTACTATTTTTATGATGTCAGTGGATTGGTTGTAAATTTTTTTGATATCATATCTTTCCGGCATCATACTTGAATCCGTAAAAATTACAGTTCGGTAAGTTGAAAAAAATAATTTGTAACTGTACACTATATTATCTTCTAAGAATTTAGAACTATTCTTATAAATTTGAAATTAAACATTAATAAAGAATATTGTAACGACAGATACTCTAGCGGCTAGAGTCTAAAGTCTAAACTACCCATCTATAAAGCTGATTTGGAAAAGTTCAGATCTTGCAAGGCAAAATCCTTTCGACCATGACAAACGCCCTAAGGTCCATGAGACTGACCCTATGGAAATTATGATTCACTTAAGTATGATTTATGCATTAATGGAAACTGGTTATGCCATTAAAATAAGAAGATGCCAATCATCTCATTGTATAGATTACCCACCCTTTGTATTAATTGCTCTAATAATTCTTTTTCCTAGATTTCCCTCAAACAGCAAGCAAACGAGAATTGATCGCAAAAGAGATTTGTGTTGAGTGCCTAAAATAAACACCGCACAACATTGGCACACATTAACAAATCCAAACTGATCAAACATCTAAAATGGAATGAAATTGGGATCATGAATTAACTTATGTGTTTACAACTGCAACAGGTTTATAGTGGCTTTTTGGATCCTTAGGCCACTATCCTGAAGCACATTGAGAGAAGACCCATTCAGCATTTGCTATGAAATTTATGTACAAAAAAGAATATCAAGCTTCCTCCCTCAAGTAGAAAAGACATAAGAGACCACATTGGAAATCCACAACCCATTCAACTAGCAGAAATTTGTGCATCTGCAATTAATCACTCACTACTTTGGGACTCTGGTCTTGTAGAAAGGGTTCCCAATGGCTTACTATAAATATCATTGAATGGGAGATTGAATTCTCCATCTAGATCATAGTCATCCATGTACACAGTTTTAGATAATGAACGAGAATTCCTCCAGTCCAAATGTTGCTCTTGCTCTGAACTTCTATCAGAGAAATTGTCATAAGGGTGATTTGAGGTATGATGGCCAAAACTAGGAGGCTCAAGAAAACTTGTCTGGGGATCCCTGGAATGTGGACCTGTTCGGGCCCACCAATGGCTCTCAGTGGGATGTTCTGGATGATCTGAGCCATGGTATTGAAACACACTTTCTCGGAGGAAAGGAGTTGATGAGCTAGATGCACCCAGATGACTTTGTAATCTGTCCTCCAAGGGGTATCTCCAGTTCTCTTCCAACCTTGGTTCCATTTGCACGGTGGCATTGTGAAATGGCATGAAAAGGTTCCTACTAGGATCTTCATCGACTTCACAGTGTAGAGCTGGAGTAGTTTTTGAATTATCAGCCGTATGTGAAGGACGAGACATGTAATACCAATCAAGCAAATATGGGTGATTTTTCTGTTCTACATCTGTCAGCCATAAAGAACCTAACTGATAGCCTGTTCTGGGAAGTCCTCCCATGTTATTGTAGAGTGCATCCTTTGAGAAAATACTGTGCATGTCACCTTGACCTCTTGGATTTAAGCTAAATTGCCAAGTTCTGGGAGGTGAATGTCCCTGTGGAATTCCCTGGCCTTGCAATTTCTGCTCTTTGAAACTGCGAAGAGTAGATAAGAATTGCTTCCCCTGAGAATTTGGTTCCCAGGTTGGATAGCTGCTCTGGAAACTGCATGAAAATAAGAAGAATAAAATTGAGAAGCAGGGCCGGGTATAAAAACAATCTGGAGTACCATAAAGAATGTTAAGATGTAGCAAGATAAAGAATAAAATGAAATTACATGCAAAAAGAGATCAGGTATTTTATGATCAATTATGGGTTCATGATAAATTAACATTGTAGACAGATACCAGAGAATGAAGACAAAGGTTTAGTAGATCACTCCTCAAAAGTCATGCACAAATACCTCAAGAATGATTTCTCCATTTTCCCCTGGGAGCTCCGTTGGGTGTGAGGTGCACTGTATGGTGAGCCAAAGTTTCTATTTCCATGGCTTTCGAAGTCAAAGACGCTAAAGCTGCGCATGGAAACAATATATAATTATTTATCATAATTAAAACTTATCAAAATTAACACAGCAAGGTCAAATGCTTCTCAATGCAGAAGACTATGAAGACAGTAATGCCAATTTAGGGTAACTTGAAAACTATTGGAACAACAGGAACCTGCAAACGTGACCTACACCTTCGATATCCACTGTGAAATCTGAAATGAACTGCAAAATGTCATCCACACGCTGCATAGTACACAGAATTTATCAGGTTAGCGGCTGTTCTATCCTAGAAAAGGAATTACATGAGTTTCTTGAAAAAAAGTACCTGTGGTACAATGAATAGGAGTAAGTAGGGGGTGAGGAAAATTGAAGCCATCTCCTCAACCAACATCATTCCAGTGTACTGCATTACCCAAAAATTTGACAACATTAGCAACAGTTTGAGGTTCAGATGAAATACGATAGAACCTAAAAGATATAAGGTTGATATCATCTATGCATCGATGAATTGATTGTTCAAATTATCAAGAATTTAAACAATTTAAATTGCATTCAGACAATGCCCTTCTATAATAATCAAGGGATTGAATCAAAGACATGGCTAGCAGCAGCGGTAGGTAATGCAGAACTTAAAGGTAGGGATTCATAATTTCAGTCTCCAAGGTAAAGTGAGAACAGAAAAGAGAAAATGAACTCATTTCAGGTCAACTTCATATATACACAGTGAAACTCAGCAATCTGAACATGAACAGTCTAGTTTATTCCAAGTGATCCATCAATTTTGACGTCAACCCCAAATAAAACCAAATCCCATTCTATGTATCTTTGCCTAGAAAAAATGCAGGAACGTCACATGTCATGAACTATGCCACTCTATTTGCTTGTTAAACAGAAGGTGCAAAATCCTCAAGACTGCAAGTCAAATGAGGGCTGATGTAAAATTCGTAGCCAACAGAGATAACAAAAACATTTTTATGACACAAGTCCCCAGTCCCATGCAAATAGATTAATGCCAATGCAGCAGGGTTTAAGTTCAACTTGGGGCAAGGGAATGACTTGATTTCTGAAGCCCCTAAAATTTGCACTGGGATCCAGTATCCCTAAGCCAGCACCTTGGTGCCTGGTCTGGATGGTACAACTGGGTTGGGATATTGCAATACAGTTGGTCACTCCTGTCTGATCTGGGTGTTCGCCTATCAAAAAAGGAAAAAACAAAAAGAAATCATGAAGGAAAAAAATGTCATGCAGCTATGGATCCTAATCAGCAATTAAATTGAACCATAAAATTTACTCTTATAGAATCTGGGGCCTCTGGGTACTGGAGGGATCTTTCAGAGAAATAATAAAGGAGAGATGGCAGCTCCGCCAATGCAGGGTCTGGGGAGGGATAGATGTATACAGCCTTACCCCTGCAGATACAGAAAGGCTGTTTCCAAGATTTGAGCCCTGGTCACCCAGGTTGCAATGGAGCAACCCATCCGTTGTGCCAAGGCACCCTCTACAGGACATACTCCTGGTCAACTCAGGACATTGGTTCAGGGAGTGCAAGTAGGGCTGAGCTTTTTGGAAATGTTACAGGAAGCTAGATCAATGTTTGGTCTGGGTTTTACTTGAGCAGGTGGAACTGTGAAAGGTGATTCATAGTTCTATTTGGTTTGATGCTTTCCCTTCTTCAGGTCTTTGATCTCTTTGGAACTTATCAAAGGTTACTGAAAAATCTTGTTCACATGAATTCTATAATCAAGCCAATTCTTTGGTTGATAGTTTGGGCTAGAGGGTGAAGAAAGGTGGGGACGGGGATGGGAGAAATGAGTGGTATCGGAGTCAAGGTTTAAAATGTCAGTGTCGGTGGAAATGTTGGTCGTCCAAATAGAAGAAACATGTCGGAAATGTCAGGAAGTATCATATGGAAATATTGTAAAAACCATATACAAGGTCCAAATATTGCAAAATATGTAAAAAACATAGCATGATAATTTATAAAATGATAAAAGAAGCAGAAGCACACTTTTTAAAGTATTATCTTATTTCAAATCATTAAACCAAGCTAAGAAACTAAGGTTATGGACAAAATAATATGTTGTGAAGTTGTCCTGGGAATGGTTTTGAATGTGGGTCAGCATTTCAGCTTTGGAATGCTAGAGTTGTAATTATCTTGTTTAACTTCTTAATTTCTTAATTAAAGTTACTGTTTCCTATCAAAAAAAAAAGTTGTCCTGTAAACCTTAGGATTCAAAACCACATGATTAGAATGAGTTCAAGCAAAATTAAACTCATAGAAAATGCACAAACAAAAAGTAATATTTAATTTTATGTTTGAAATGAATATTGAACTGGATTAAAGTGGTAATCATGTACATAAGGCACGTACTAACATTGCTACTCCATATATCTACAATATTGTCACCAAATTATAATAATGTCCGTCTCTTATACTCCACATAATGCTAGTATTGTTCACTGCAGAACATGTCAATTCCAGTAAAATTTTGTGTTGCTACCCATGGAAATGGAAATATGTTGTGGAAATATTAGGAAATTTAGGGACATTTCAAACCATGATTGGAGTTTAGCTCTTTCAGAACAATAGAAGTCTTCCATCTTACTTTTGATCGATGTGTCATTACTTGGCCTGTTATGAGTTATAGTCTTTTGATGTAGAACAAGAAGGTAATGCATGAAACTAAGGGAACTAATAGTTTGGCTGGTTCATTGGATAACAAGGGGTTGAAAGGGATCCACTGCATTGGGCCAATTTGTAATATCATTTATTAGTGTAACTTAGAGGAATAGGTAATAGTAGCCAGCCTGTTATTGGGGATGCTTGGCATCTTGTATATGTTATATTCTTTCCTCAAGTCAATAAAATTGAACAGTTACCAATCAACAAAAAAAAAAGTAAAAAAGAAAACTATGAAAATAAGGGAAAATAGACCTATGAAATGTCAATCAAAGAAGATGGAATCACTAGACACCTCTGGGGCTCTAATTGGGGAGTTACTCAGCCTAGGCAAACTTTGAACTTTTTTTATCAGAAACAGTAACTTCATTAAAGATAAATTAAAACTGAAATACAGAAGTCAGCCCCTATTAGAAGAGGCTGATCCAATAAAAATCATACATTACCGCACTGCCCAGTAAAGACTTTCCCTTACAGTCCCTTGTTTTGCTAAGACATCAGCTAAACCATTTGCTGATCTCCTTACCCACTTAAAACAAACACCTGCCTCCCTTGTTATGCTAAATGTTTCCCTTATCAGTCCCTTGTTAGGCAAACTTTGAACTTCGCTTGATTTTTTTTTTTTTTTGGGAGACCTTCACCACAAATTTCAGCAACACAACTATAGATTCAGAAAATGGTGAGCAGAAAACCTGGATTTCCTTCTTTAATGAAATGAAATACATGCAAAACTAAAATGATTTTAGTGGAATCATTTGACTCACTTTACTAAATAAATAACTCAACACTCTAACCTGATTGTGGAATTGCTAACCACACTTCAACTTCAAGGACTAAGATTGGTAATGTTTCTGGGAGACTGGGGTCTGATTGTGGAAGTGGACTCAAAAACAACTGAGGGCTGGCTCATATATGAGATGACAGGAATTATTTACCTGGGGTTCTACAATCAGAAAATAACCTTTCTGACTCTCTACCTAGAGAAATTATTTACAGTCACCGACTAGGGCTAAATATTTGATTAGGATAAGAAAGGTGTGCATGTACCATTTCGTCTCTTAGAAGCTTTTAAGTAGGAAGAGCAACTTGGGTTTGCTCAACTCTTTCAATTGACAGAAACGTTATATCTTGTAAGTTGTACTATTACCTCATCATCAATAAAGTATTTTCCAGTTACTGATACAAAATATGAATCCTCTCTAGAAATCATTAACAAAAGAACAAAACCCAAGAATGATTGACTTGACTCCTATCAAGAAAGCATTAAATACCATAAAGTGTTCAAGTTCACGAGATTAATTCAATCATCCCAGAGCCGCAGCCAAGGTAAGAACCAGTTTTTGGAAACTCATTAACGTTGGAAGGGGACGTTCAAGTGGTGAAGAAGCTACAAACAGGGAGCATGGAAGAGTTAACCAAGAAGACTATGTTGCGATGAAGGGAAGCAAGAGAGTATCCTACCTGGCTTGAGAGTCATAGAGATCATTGCTCATTTAAACACTGAGGTAAGCTCCAATACTGTATTTCCTTCAGCTGTGTTGGATGACACCAATAAAGAAGGGGAGGAGAATGGAGTCAGAGTTGAAGAAGAGAAGGCAGAGGAATGAAGTGAAGAGAAAATCTCCTAGTGGGGAAGACAGAAGTGAGCTTGAAAAGAATTTATATTAGAAAGAGAAGGGCTACTTATCTGGAAAATGAAGCAGCGAGGGTGAGAACTGAGAGGGGGGAAGTGAGAGGGCAGGAGGGTTCAGGAGAGGAACCAAGGGAAGGAGAGGAGAATGAGGACCTCGAGGGAAAGGAGGTCCCAGGAGAGGAGGGCTCTAGAAAAGGAAAGGTGGATATTGAAGAGTTAGTGGAGAGACAGGTGGTGGGAAAATCTCTCGGTTTATTTTTTCTGGGTGGAAAGACAGTGGTTAGAAGGGAAATTGAGCTTTTCAAAAGGAGTAGGAGAGAAGAACAAAACAAGAAAAAAATTCTAGTGGAGAGGGGTGAGGCATGGGAGGAAGGAGAAGGGAGAGAAGATGATTTGCTGGAGGAAGAGTGAAGGGGTTTCCAATGAGAAAGGAGAGAATGGGTGATGGAGGTAGGAGATGGAAATGAGATTGATACCGCTTGGTTTGATTGGTGGCAGTTGTTGGCAAGTCTTTTTCAGTCTGGGTCCTGGTGATGCCTGAATTTTCAATAGCCAAGAAAGAAGCGTCCAGGGTCACACTTTGGGAGGTGCTGGGATTGCAATCTTGTAATTTGGTAGGTTGGTTTTGATCTGTATTGTTTTGTTTTGTTGTTGTTCTTCGCCGTTTCTAGGTATTGATTTAACACCTAATCAAGTTGTATTGTTCTTTTCCTTTTAATGATATTCTTTTACTCATAAAAAACTACCAGAAGATGAAGAATCACTTCTTGATTGGATTTACAGCAAGATACAGGTGGAGTATAAAGCCTTTTGGGTGTGCTGGAACGGACCCATCAGAATTAGGTCTGTTAGCTTTGGACTTGCTGGGCCCTTCTCATCCTTCCCTTGCTTTTAGAGGCTTGATAATGCATTCTCTTTGTTGGCTTCAATACTTTTTTTCCCATTTCTTGATCCAAAAGGTAAATTTGTTTTAACTGCTTTTGTTCTCTTAGCATCAATAAATAAGTAATTTAGCATGTTCACCTGAAATAAGGTTTCAAACTCCAGGCGGACCATATCAGTATTCTCTTTACCACGCCATCTCTTTGGCATATAGTGTGTATATTGGACTACCAAAGACATTGCCCCTTCAGGGTCAAACACCTGAAGTTCATCGGTTACTGCAGCTCGGCTAATAGCTGTTACAGTTCCAAAGACAGCAGCATACCAGAACAAGTTGCGACCAAATATCTGCATGTTTCAGTAAAGATGACTCAAGATAAAGAAGAAAGAAACACTTAAACTTTAGTGACAACTCATAATATACAAAAAGTAAAAGATTATTACATGTCCTTCTAATAGAGATTCCTCCAGGAATGCAATGATGATCAGAATAGCAGCGAAGCCACCAGAGACAAAAGAGATGAACTTGGCAACAATAGCAACAATAGGTGATGGAAACTGCTTTAGATACTGAGCTGCATGTGTTACACTACTATTGATACGGTGTTTGAACAAATGGTCGACCTGAATTTGAAGATGAAAAATATATAAGTACAAGTCAAAATCAATATTTGAAAAGGAAATATAAGGTATATTACTGAAAAAGAAAGCAACATCATTGAAGACTATAAATTTAATTTTCTACCAGTTATTATATTTCATATATGAAACTAGAACATCCAAAGAATTGAAGCCACTTATCAAAATAAAACAAACCATGTCTGACTCAAAAGTATATCATTTTCAAAAATGGTTTTTGATATTTAATAAATCATGGCAAAGAGAGGAGAAATCCCCCCCACAGGATTACATCCTCGTTACATGGTTATTATTGAACTGGCCTCCCCATTGTATTGGGGCAAAACTTGGAACTTCTTTTTCTTTTTTTTTTTTTTTGTATATACTCCACTGTTTATATTCTCTCCATTTTTCGTTCCCTTTCTTTGGTGGATTGAACCAGTGTGGAATCTGAATCAAGTCAGATTCCAATCCCTAAGCAAAATAGCACAGTAGCAGATCTATTTTTGCTTTTCTCTGAAAGCACTGAGGCTCAAGATCAAACAGCAAGAACTTCCAATTCGTGTCAGCATTCTTTGCCTTGCTTATATCTTGGCATTCATCACTAGAATGCTTAGTGTTCTTCATTATGTGAGCATGATCCATGAGTTGATCCTTATTTCAATTACTGAACTACAATTTTCTTGATGGAGAAGGGAGTCTATGAGTTCTGGAACTGGTTTGACTTTGAGAGTTGGTATCCCATTAGGTTAGATCATCAGAGGGACTCTCTACCAAGGTCTCATGGTTACTTTCAACCATTTTGGATTGGATGGGGTCCAGTCCGATCCATATGCATTAAAATGAATTGGATTGGGCCTCTGTCCATTAGATTTGGGTTGGATCAGATTTGGGCTGTTCATCAGTGGACACATATTGGATTGGGTCGGGTTGGACAAACCTGGTCCATTGACACCCTTAAGATAACACTATCTAAACAGTCTATGATTTACTGGTAATTAAATAGGGTTAATGCATGTGGGGAAAGGATTTCTTTTCTTTTTCTTTTTGTAGTGATAAGTAATCAGATTTTTATCATTGAGTAATAGGGAATATTCATTACCATGGAGATGCTCAAACTGGCAATGAAGTCCTGGAAAAGTATAAAATAGCATTTAAATTAAAAACAAAAGCCCTATTTTGAGGCCATTAAACTCTTTCAATGTCCATGCTCAGTCCATAAAATCTATTATTCTACAAGCATCTGCTAAAAGATGCATAAAAAGCCATTCACTATTTCATGCCCTGTGAATATTCTGGAGTTCCAAAAACTCCAATTGACCACATGGGGGATCATATCGCTTAGAATGATCTCTTAATGCACTGAAACTAATGGTGAAGGGAGAATTGCAAAGCTCAACTGATGAGGTACAAGATCAGGGTATACAAAAAGGAGAGCAAAAGAACTTCCAAAGGTCAAACAAGTCCTGGTAGAAGAGAAAATGATAATCCACACCAAAGTAAATTTAGACATGATACATCTATTTGGAACCTTAATACTCCATTGATCCGGGTGATCGATCATTAGGCCCTTACCAACAAAAAAAGTGCTACATGAAGACTTGAACTCTAGGATGAAGCTAACAACCCAGGACATGATAATTGACAAGGAGAAATGTCTAGCAATCAAAACATCCTCTATTGAGCATCAACAGGACAAACATAACATTGCAAGAGGCGTATGGCTAATAAGGCACAATACTAATAGAAAATGTCAGTCCCCCTGTGTGTGCAAAAAAATACAAAGCAGAAACCATATACTATAGAAATGAAGTATACCTTCTAGTTTGTTAAACTGAATAATGAGAAAGATCCTGCTACATAATGCATTGCAGGACAGATTCATAACTTAATAGTGCAAACATAATGACCATGGACTTCTGTTCTAACCATAAACCACATGTTTTATTTTCCCTTCACATTGAACCTAAGGCTGTGTTTGGTTGCAATGCAAATAAATTTGCACTGATGCAAAACCATGGTAGTGCAAACGATTTGAGTGTAAATTCAGACCTATTTTTGTTTCAAATTTTAGCTTATTTTGTTTGATTGCAGTAAAAATGAAGTAAATTAAGACATGAAGCAGAACAAAGTAAAATCCAAAACAAAATTAAACAAGAATTTGCATTTTTTACATTTGCACTCCCATGCATTTGTACTAGTGCAAATAAATGTGCACTGCAACCAAACACAGCCTAAGTTGTTTTAGCCTCCCCTTGCTGTTTTTATAACCCTCAAAGCCTCAACTTGCAGTAGGTCATTCCTTCTTACAGGTTCAATAGGTGATCTCCTGTTCACATGAAAACCATCTGTCTACTTCTCTCATTTCATTCTCCATTAGTTTTATAGTTTTTTTTTACAAGTAAAGATAAATTTATTAATTCATAGAATCAGGCTGATACAAGCATCCCTTGGAGAGGTGCGAGCTGCGACCTCTCTTAACAAAGTAGTTTTATAGGTTCTATACCTATAATATATCTCACTATCCTTATCTTTTCTGCAACCATTTTTATGGATGTGTTACTTCTTGATTGCCTGGCAATACAACATTACAAGCTTGCCCTTTTAGTCTGATTGGTATTCCTGATAACATAACACTAAAATGCACCTCTCCACTTCATCAAAGTCAATCTAATTCTAGGGGCAACATCCTCAATCTCTCCATCCTATGTATTACTGTACCAAGGAAAAAGAAATGCTTTCAGGTATCTTCATTTATACTCTTGTTATTACTCAATTTGCATTGCAGATATTTCATCCAAGTTCCACTTACCTAGCCTTTTGATTCGAAAGCATTCCTCATGTGCAATACAGATTGAAAGGCATGCCTTTTAAAGGAAACAACTAATGTTTCATAAGGCATGCCCTTATGTAACAAGTGTTCTCTTTGCCGTGCCATCAAGTGCCAACCACCGTGCCTACAGCCGCCACTCCAGTGTCCAAGTGTGTGTCATGGGTGGGCTATGCATGTACTTTTGTATGGGGGATTGCCAATGGCATTATTGTAATACTGTAGTATGCTTTTTCACCTTTTTGATGTTTCTTATTGTCACTCCCCCAAAAGCTTAACGTACTCTTTGAGGGAGGTAGGTAGTCGAGTGAGCTCATAAGCGTGTAAAGGTTAAGCATGAGATGCCCTCGACACTGTACTGTGTGCTTGTGCTTACCACTGATTAATGCAATACAAGTTGCCTTTTGTCTAATTTGTGTGCCTTCTTGTTGCCTTTTGTGTGTTGTTGCTTGCATTTGTAGGCTTTCTCGACCCCATCGAGCGCCGCACGAGGCCTCATCGATTAGCCCCGTGACACTTAGACACTTCTAGGCACATGCATGTGCATATTAAGGCATGCACCCTGCCTGAAGCTAGGCGCAGTCCCTTTCAGAAGGTTTGTGCCTTTTTTTATATGCCTTCTTAGTTTTTTTTGGGTAGATTCTCATTTGTTTTACACCTTTGTGATAGTTTATCAACTTCTAAATTACTTTTTATTGTTCTTTGTACACTAGTAATAGTCTATTAACTTTTGAAGTAAACAAAAACAAAGACTTTCAAATACCAGTAGCCTTAGTTCTTGCACTTAGGATCTCAAGTAGCAAAATTTCCACCCAAAAAGCAACAACACAACTAATCTCTGATCCTAATCCTAAAATAGAATAAGTTGAGATCAAAATCACAAAACCAACCCTTTTATACATACTAGCCAAAACTCAGGTTGGGGGCACCGCCCCAAACCCCAGCATGGACTTGTTTGAGTTCGCCTAGAGGGTCCTTTACAGAGGTGGAGAGCCAAACTCCTAGGATCAGGAGTGTAGGATTTTTAACATCACACCAGCTACTTGAAGTAATGCAACTAAGAGATAAATAAATAGATTGAAAGCTTCATATGCTTGAATTATTTAGTGCTTTCTTACCACATGGAAAAAAAAAGAAAAGATATTTGAATGCTTGAAGCACTTTGGTACAATCCTTGTATATTTTTTTTTTATCAATAACATCAACTTCATTAAATTAAGAGAAGAGAGGGAAAAGAATACAAAGGGAGATAAAATAACTTAGCTCCCCAAAAACATACAATCCTTGTATATTTGCTTTCAATTCCACATTTTCACCTTGAATATATATATTTTTTATGTTGTGCTTATGTATTTTGATTTGAGCCAATAGGCTTTTTAAAATTCAAGTTTGAATTTTTATGTATTACTGTATTTTTTTAATTAGCACCTTGCTTCGAAGATGTGTCCTCACCTTGTGCCTTGTGCCCCAAGCACTAGAAGTAGAAGGCCCTTGTGCTTTTAAAATACGGGAGATAAAAATAAGACAACTGATACCTTGTTAGTTTCACCAGGATGATCTGATACATGAACCTTCAAACAAGTATTCTAGGCTACTCAAGTGGATATAAATTGCTTTTTGATTGCTTTGAAAAAGAAAACTTTCCAATAAGAAAAGATTCTTATTGCACCTGCACTAACAAGATAATTTTCTAATATTCATTACAAGGCTCTGAAATTTTGATTTCAGTGTCAACTTCAAACCTGTTTGAAATGAAAATATGGCAGTTTATTAAATCAAAAGGAACATTGAAACTTCCTTGAAATTTCAACCTTGCCTATTACAAGGTTAAAGAGGATAGATAAGACCAAAGATTACCTGATAACAGGGGGGGAAGGTGCTCAGCACTTAAAAAAATGAAATTATTAATACCTCATTAAATTCTCTAAAGATCCACTTTGAGAGATTTGACCACCTTCGAGATGATGCAGTGCTTGGATGGTTATAAAACTGTTCAGCATGCCTCAAGAAGAGATAAACCAACATAAATATGACCAGAAATGGAGAAAGTAGAAGCATCCCAAGCCCAACTGCCATAAGCCTCTTCTTTAATGAGGAAGGGTTTGAAATAAAGTCTCTTCTAATGCAAAAGTTTCTGCAGAAATGGTATATATCCAGATTAGCACATGATATATCAGACACTTGCAAACAATTTGACATCATCAAAGACAGGTTCGCCTAACAGAAGGTGCCAAATATGAAGAAAGAACAATGAGGCCAAGCACCTAAGCATCTAGGGACAAACAGGTGATCATAAACCATTTGCTAAATGATCGTTTAGTTTTAGTCTTTCATTGAAGTTTCTGTTGCAATAACATTAGACTGCTTCTGGAAATTGAAGACAAATAATCTGAGCTTATGTATAAAGAAAACAGTTGTTTGTGCAATTACTAATTTTAATGTGGAAGATGGTTCTAGTGTGAGGTTTTGGGAGGATGAGTGGTGTGGAATTGGGAGGCATGTGATGTCTGCCCAAGACTTTATAGGCAGAGTTCAAACTTCAAAGAATATTATGATGAATGCATGTTTTGATTCTTTTTATTTGAAAAGGTAAAGTATTCCTTGTATTATATTGAAGAAAACAACCAGAATATATAAAATCTTCAGACCCCTATACATTGAGTGATTGAACAAAGAGTCCCACACCTCATGCGAAAACAAGTTCTCTATGGAGCAAACAGAGTATCCTTGTTGAACTACTCCTTCACAAACAGCCAAGAGTGAATAATAGTCATCACTTTCCTTGACACCTCCTCTGGCATTGCTACTTTATTGTCAAAAATTCCACTATTTCTTTCCTTCAAAAGAAACCAGCATAAAGAAGACAGAATTGAACTCTGACTAAATTTCCTTTCTTGGTTAAGCCATTGATGTGCAACTCAGCCACTCTCTCCTTGATTTTTTGAGGAAAGAACTACTTGATGTTAAACAATTGCAGAAAATGAGTGCACAAACATGCGCTGAGAGGACAGTGAATGAATAGATGATCTGCCCTCCAGATCATATGGGAAAAAGTACAGGAAGATATGGGAAGGACCATACCTATTCCTTTTAACACATCTCTAGTTGGACATTTTCCCAGTACTGCAATCCACATCAGGAAAGCAACCATTGATGGGATTGGAGTCTCCAACTTCTTTTGTCAGGAAAGGAACTCTACTAGCAAGCTTAAATTGCCTAAAGAAGAATTTCACTGTAAAAATTCCTGATTGTTCCCATATCCAAATCCAAACATTGCAACCTCCAATTACTGGCAAGTGATCCTACATTTTGCAATGAGTCATCAAAAAGAGGAAAAGAACAAGGGTGGAGTGGCTGTTTTACTTCATGTAAGAGAGAGAATAGGAAAAAAAGAAATCTCTTTATACTTCTATTTTCTCTTTCTTATTCTCTTTTCTAAACCCTTGAATCTTTTAAATTTGACTAGTAAAACTTAAGAAAAAAGTATTAATGATATAATATATAGATATAGTAGAATGTATTAACGTTTAACGCACATATTAGTAACATGTAGCAATATGAATGATATTATGATAAGCTGCCAGCCTTGTCATTTTTGACACCTAGGTGACACCTTAACAACTATGTAAATAATAGTTTTTCTTTTTTTTTTGAGAAAAAGGTGCATTATGTGTTGTATTAAATCACCTGTACCAGCAACCAAGAAAGAAAAGCACCCAACACTTTCTTATTAACTCCTGTGTTGAGATTCCCTTGTCATTGAAGACCCTTAGGTTTATCTCCTTCCATACACACCATGGCACAGCTGCTGGAAAACAATACTTGCTTTCTTGTTCTGATTTTAAGGGTCATAAATCATACTTTACCCTCTTTCCTTTAACATACTAGTTTCTTTAAGACATGTTCACAATATGATTTTTTTTTCTAGGGGAGATGTAAAAACATTATCTAGAACAAGATATATGTAAAACAAATATACCTGTCAAACATGCTCTGCAGTATGCACCAGTTTAAGGTCCATTCAAGAGTTTTAGTTAGTATTAAATGATTTTTCCTTCCATTTTTTCCAGAGTTGACAGCAGGACCAGCACCTGGGAACCACTGAGAGATTGGAAAAGCAAGAACACCTTTGTTAAGCATTCCAATCAAGTAATTCTCCTTCCGCATTATTCGCATTACCACATCATGCGCAGAGAGATCCTTAACCACACAAAGTTGCTGTGACCTCTGTATCTGAACAACCTTTTCAAGAATTGATGCCCATGACATTGTTTGAACTTCACGGTCTGAAACATGGAGACTGCAGAAAACAGGAAGTTCATAAAGTTATACTCCCCTAATGATCTTGTTTCCTAATAATTTTTCTTATCGATCAAAAAAATAAATAAATAGGATTTAGTTACCTAGCTTCATTACAACAATTAAGGCCAACTAGAAATCAGATTGTGTTAAACTTACCTATTATGGTAGAAGTTCCTGATCTCTAATGTGTCCTTCAATTGTGCAAAGAACCTCAAGAAACAGAAGATCCAATAGACAGAAAATATACCCAGATACCCAACAATGATACCCTTTGAAAGTGTGAAGGGAGTTAATGGGTGTGGGTGAAGAGCCTCCTTAGCCAGATCACAGGGCTTCATTCCTGATTCCACTGCATCCAATCCACACTTTGCCTTGCGCAGTCCGTCCCAATCAACAAATAATAGGAAAAATCCGGAGAAACATATGGTGAACCCAAGGCTTAAGAGTTCAACAATCCACTTAATGATTATGCACCACAGTCCCTTTTCACAATAGTAGTTATATAGCCTTTCAAAGAAAAGGTCCAAATCAGTAATAGGTTCTACCTTCAAACCCTCACCATTGAGTAGCCCAGAAGGGCTCTCACTACCAGAACTTGGTAGCCTTCTGTAGTCTGACAGTTCAATCTCAGGAGGTACATCATTTAGCAGTTCTTTGGTTAATGATGATTCCCCATTCCATTTCCACTTGAATATATTAGGAGCATTTGCACCCTTCTGTCCACTGGACATCATTCACAAGCACTCAGACCAAGAAAATATGGCCAGTCCATTCCCCAAACTGTTTGCTTGAATCATTGATATATGGAGCTGTAAAAAGAAGGCAAAATATCACCATTTTTTATCAATAATATTCACCATTATGTTATATAAAGATGTTTCTAGGAAAGAAAAGTAAGGAACCTATATTCAAGTATCATCATCCAAAACTCATCCCAACTATATGGGGTGGGCTACACGAATCCTGTTTTTCAATTCCATTCTGTTAAAGCTGTATCCAGTATGCTCACAAAAATATATGCATAAGATATGATATATGGATACCTGTACAAGGGTGTTGTATTGTGTTGGATACTTCAATTTCTAGTGTAAATTTTGTATCCAATACAGTATCAAGCCATGTCCTTTCCATATCCAGGTAACATAGTGGATAAGGCCATCAGAGATTACAGTTTGCAAAATACATTGATAAATGTTTAAAGTAACAAGACCAAGTATATTATGTGAATTAAAATAATCACATGAATATTGAAAGTATGTAAGATAGCACTTTGCATAGAGAGAGTGAGATAAAGAATAAACAATCAGATTTAGGTAAAATACAACAAATCACAGATAGTTAACTATATGGGTCTGAACAGGGCCAAACAAAGAGATAACAACATGTATACTCTTAAGAACCAATGAGATGGAACTGGAGAGAACAGGAAATTAATGTTTACTTTACTAATACATGAAGAAAAACTTTACATTTTTATAAATGACACTTGTCATATCTCACAAGTTCTTGTAGAATCCTAGGAATGCTTAACAAAGCCTTGTCCCAACTATAAACATAAAAAAAAATCTCATATGGGTATTTTCCTGGAAGACTTCCCAATCTCAAGACTTCAGCATAATTCCCAAATACCACCTGAATGTTACTACTTTGAGTAGCTATGATTATTCACTAGCATTCCAATCCAATCAATTGCAAAATGTCTTCACTCCATGCATCCTGTGATTCAACGGTGGAATGACTGAAAGAGGATACGTCACCTCTTTATCTCTTGTCCTTTTGCATCCTAGGACTAAATCACTTTTGGATTTACTTGGTCTTCGCCTTTAGATATATCCTCGGTTTGTTCTCACCTCATGTAACCTACTTTCTTCCTGTGAAACCATTCTTACAATTCCTTGCATTTTCAAACTGTTCTTCTCCTTACCCCCCCCCCCCCCACAAAAAAAAAAAAAGAAACAAAAAAAAAAAACAGCTCTTCTCATATGACAATTTAGCGTACAGCCTTGAAAGCCTATGACCTTGTTAGGTCGCATTAATATAGCTATATTACCATATTCAGTGACCATTACAACCTGTGTAAAGTTGCAAACTTCTCTTTCATCTTGAACAGACACCAGCCATCATGTTTCCTGATCTTCTTCCACTAAAATTACTTGGAAGCCTACTTTTTTGCACTGCAGTATTCAATCCACCATTTCCGTTTTACTGGTCTATGCCAATGACAATTTACTAACTGCTACCAGCACACAGTTTTGGCTATTTAGCCAATTCAGGTAAAGGAGCTCCTTTTCTTGAGTTGTTTAATTTTGGCCCTAAGGTTGAAGTGCTCATAAGGCAATCTTACAAGAAAAGTTTAAATGTTACAAAGGGGTATTACAGCTAGGCTTCTTCCTAGAGCCATGTCGAAAGTGGTATTCTCAGCAATTTATGAGTAAAAATACAGTTAAGATTTCGTGTAGAGTGTTCAACAGGGTTGAATGGAGCTGTTACACTTAAGTTTATTCGTTGTACACATATTAATACTCTAGCTGGACTTTTGAAAAAGAAAAAGGAAATCCAATTTCAACATTAATAACAAGTAAAGATTTTTTGTAAGCTAACCATTTAAATGGCAGGTTTTCAAACTGCAGTAATTCAGATTTGTCGCAGAAGTTCCACATGCAGCCAGAACCTCTGTACATAACACCATCCATTTAACCAATTTTAGAACCCAGAAACCAACATAAAAAATAGGAGCTTGCCTGGTAGAAATTCATCAATCAAAGGACCACGATACAGAAAACTAAACAGCTAATTTTTATTATTCCATCATACATTTACTGAAAACTGTAAGGCCCTAGTTGTAAAATTCTACAATAACATCGAGAAGTACATGAAAGAAAAGATTGGAGAAAATGAAGCAACGGAATTTCATTGTTCAGCCATTCTTCAATTTAAGGCGACAAGATACTTTGCTTTCATCGCTTTAAGGACTTAACAATTGCATACGAATTACTAATTTGCAATTCCTAAAAACTCAAAAGCACAGAGATGGAAAGAAAAGAGCTGGTTTCAGCAGCTAAAAGACAATCCCAGTATCCAATTCGAAGAACGAGCAATGAAGAAACCAGAAAAATATCAACAAAAAGGAAAAAGAAAAAGAAACGGGCAAACATTAACGAAAGGAAAAACCCAAAAAGAAAGAAAAAAAGAATTGGACGATTCGCGTAAAGTACAGAAATACGAACCAAGAAAGCAAAATTACCTGCGACCCAGCAAACAGTTCCAGCAATTAAGCGATCAAACCGTCGGAAACAATCGCAAAAGAACTGATTTGGGGCGACTTTCGACAGAGAAAGGCGTTCAGAAAAAAAGAGTTTAAACAAAAGAAATAGTGATTAAACCGAATAATAACACAAGAGAGTTGAGAAAAAAGACGGGATTTTTCGGTGGAAGGTAGACGAGGGGTCAGAAATAAAAGTGGTTTATTCGGTAATCGAATCAACAGAGATTGAAGAAAGAACTAAGTAAAAGAAAAAAAAAAGGTGGAAGGGAGAGAAGTTTTCTGCAATAATTTATATATTTTAACCGTGGAGGCGTTTCAGCTCCTATCAGTCGTACAAGGAGACGTGAAGATGGGAGTCACACCTTACCTCTCTTCCTAGTTCCTTACTTCCTCCTCAGTGAACGAAGCTACAAAAATGAATAATAGTAAAGATGAGCCCAGTGGGCCTTTTGGGCCCACTCCCATATTTTTGGGGATTGGCCCATGAATGGGCTGTTAATTACCGTTTAGCACTACTTGGGCCCGGGCCATCACAAATCCTCACCGGGAACTTGCAAGCTAAGAATGAGAGAAGATTCACTTCACTGACTCAAACACACTCGTGGGCCCACATGAAGTTCGGGCTGGATAGGCTATGGCCTTGGAAGTAGGGCTGGAAGCCGGACTGGGTTAGGTCGGGTTGAGGCCGACCCTAAGATCTAAACCTCCAATCCTAATCTTAACCCAACCCAATCCTAACCTTAATCCTAATTAAATTCCTTTAAACCTAACACAATCCGAAGTCAATTTTGTGTTGGGTTGGGTTCGGGTTAGGCCTAATCCAACTTTCCTCTTGTCTCTTAAAATCTCATATAATTTATTGATTTTAGACCTTAACTCAACTTTCAGTATATATATTAATCATATGTTTCATTAGTATTTGTTTGTTGATTTTTTTTTTGTTCTTTTGATACAAAATTCAGAAAAACAAGTGTTAGAAATGACTATAGTTTATTATGAATTATGATTTACGATAAATCTTTTATGGGCGACAAACAACAGAGGGGAGATGAAGAGTAAAGTTTTCAAAAAACATAAAATGATGTTATTAAGGTTTTAGTCTTTCTGATTAGGATCAAGTGAAATGATTATCTTAAAAAAAATATATGATACTATGTGGCAGGGCCTATACAAATATCATACATTTAATCAAATTAGTGTGTGTTATATATTATATATAACATATATTTATATATGACATAGAATCATGTTTGGGTTGGATCAGGTTGCCTAAAGGATCAACCCTAACCAAACCCAAAATAAAATCGGATTAATGAATTTCAACCCTAATCTTAACCTGAACATCAACCTGACCCAACCCAACCCAACCCAACTTTTTTGGGTTGAGTTAGGGTTGGGTTCAGGCCAACCCGGCCCAAATTATAGCCTTACTTGGAAGTTCGAACCCAGCAAGCCCAGCCCAAAGTCAATTTACTAATGTGCCGCCGAGCCAACTGACTGCGGCGGCAAGTCCAAGCAGATATCAGACAAAAAGTATCTACAAATACGATAACCATCTATTTATGGGCCAGTTGAGAATTTACTATGTACCCTCATGATTATGACTAGTTTTTTCTATAAAAAAATAAATAAATAAAAAAAAAGGTCCACATTCTACAAGCTCTTGTTCGTAACAAAAGGTTTCTTGTATCGGTCCCGCGTTAGAGGGAAATTTCCTATCTGAACGTTTTAGGCGTAGAGAAGTACAACCTCCATTTCCTTGTCTGTCTCCATTCAAATTCAACAATCAACACCCTCATCAGTCATCTCCCTCCATGCCTCCCTGCTAGCATTTCCCCTTCAGTTTCTGTGCTGAAGTCGTCTTTAATTCGTGGAAGCAATACCAAGTTGCAACTTCAGTGTTTTTTTTTGGGTAAATTATAAAGACCTCCTATATTTTGTTTTGCGACAATGACCCCCTCTGTACTATGACTGTGAGACAAAGACTCTCTTTCATTAGCCTTCCGTTGAATTTCACCATTACAATATATTTTAATCTCCATACTACCCTTGTAATAACTATTCGAACAATTAGAAGAAAAATACTGTTCCTCTTTCGGACCTCACGATATACGAACAACAGCTGTTCGCTCTATCCAATCGATTATCAACAAAACATCCCCTCTAGGTCTGAGAGGCTCCAAAACCAAAGTTCCAATCAAGTCAGGCCACCTTCTCGGAACATCCAACTACATTGTCAAAATCGGACTGGGCACACCAAAACAAGATTTATGGGTGAACATCGACATTGGAAGCAGCTTGAGTTGGGTCCGATGCCAACCCGCCTGAATCAGTGCCCAACCCAGTTCCAAAATTATAGTTCAACCTCTTATTAGCAGCCCGAGAAGCAGAAGTAGGAAAGAGGTGCTGATCTTTGCTGCTGGCAGCCTCCTCCTTGACGTAAGTGGGAATCGGGATTCGGTCCGACTCAATTGCATCTACATCCTCGACCAAAAGCTCGTAGTGTTTATTCAGTTCAGCTACAATCTTACTTGGAAACATGGAAGCAATCTTCTCCCATCGGTCTTTTGAGTCATCAGCAGCCCAGTGCATTGCAATTGTAGTCTCGAACGCCTTCTCCTCCTCTTTGCTCCATCTTCCTACACTAGCCATGATCGTTCGTCTAGTACTATTCCAATCAAGCTCATTCTATACCAAACAATGACAGTGACAGATTAATTACAAGAATCCGGTTTCTTTCGCTAGCATGGCTATTTGGCTATGTTGAGACGCAAGGAGGGAAGAATGAAGGTGCGGAGGATAGAGAGATGGGTATCAATGGAGATAAAGTTTTTAAGGATGGATCAGTTATCATGTTCAAACAATACATATACTCTCTCTCATGACTCTTTTTTCACTTAGACATAGTAATCATGGAGTTCATGGAGTGTGTAAAGGGGTGATTGGTGAGGAGAAGACAAGAGCCAGAGAATCTTTTCAAAAATCTAACTACTGCATCATCAGATGAACTGTAACTTTGGAGCAGTTAGTACAGGGTTGGCATAGAAATCTTGTTTTGGTGTGCCAAATCCGATCTCATCTGTAAGGAATGGAAAACAGAAGAAATAGGAAAGAAGAAAAGGGAAGGGGAAGAAGAGAGATTGAGAGAGAGAAAGATGAAGGATTTCAATAGAAGTCCGTCACCACTGGTATTGTGAGGGTGAGGTCGGGAAAGATAAACAATGCTTTTCTTCCAATTGTCAGAATAATTATTATAAGGGTAATATGGAAATTAAAAAATATTGCAATGGCAAATTTCAACGGAAGGATAACAAAGAAGTATTTGTCTCACAGTCATAAGGGGGGTCTTTGTCGCAAAACAAAGTACAGGGGATCTTTGCCACAGAACCCATGGTAAGGGGGGTCTTTGTAATTTACCCCTTTTTTTTAAACTGTTTCGGGCATGTGGGATTAGATTCGGTCGGTCATTAGACTCGTTGCTTTGCTCTCTGCAGGAGAGAGGAGAGAGAAGCAAAATATTGTTAAATTATTGTCCCAGGACCCAGGGTATGAATGAAACGTTGCATCTCATTCAAGTTCCAACAAACATACGCTGCTGTCATCACTCTGGGGTCTGAACTGAACCCAAAAGCTTTGTAAACTACAATAGTTTTATAGTTGCACGATAAGAAGAAATAGTCAATTGCAGTTTACAACATGATTATCGTGTTCCGACTTCCAACTTGCTAAATACGTATACGAAAGGATTCAGTCGATGCCGTCAATACAAATCGGTGACGCAAAAATTTTACTAATGCTATGCTGTAATCCTGTTTGATAAATGTTCTCACTCATTTAAAAAGCATCCCGTTTGCCCCCAATAATTACCAAGTACTAATTGATAAATATGATCCAACTAAGTTGATGAGGAGGAGAGCATGGTTTGAATTTTGAAACACGAAATCTGACTAAAACAATTGATTGGACAATCTTACACCCGCTCAGACTGGATTTCAAATCAAAATCTGCCAAAATAGTAGAAAGTGCATCTTTAAATCCGCAAATTCATGCTCTGCAAACTGCAATATCTTATGGAGAGCCAAATTGTGGAACCAGAAAAGCTTGCGGAGTTGAGGTTTGAATCGCACAAGTACAAATTGGAGGATTTCAGAATCACGTCTATAAAAGTGTTATACTATATTAACACTTCATTTTTCCAGTGTAATACTATATTGGTCTGGAATACCTGAAAAGGGGTTTCGATCCAGACTTGTTGTTTTCAGATGTTTCTGTATGCTCTCCGTCGCTTGCTCATTACATTCGATAAGAGAGTTCCCCGGCCCCAAACGAGGCCTTCATCATATAACATAACAATTAAATGGCAATATCTATTCTCTTCATAACCATAACATTGTTTCTCAAGGGCGTACAACGGTAGAAGCTTTTTTAGGTTTTACTCAATCAAGTGAACAAAGAGTTCCGGTTTCTTACCCAATAATTTCTAAGATGAACTACAATGTTTATTTACCATTTTATTATCAATCTAACCATCGCCGTGGTCAAGTTCAATACTTAGCATTCTACATTTCTATCGAGCGCTCTGGAAATTTTCACAACATTGAAGGAGAGGGAGGTCTCTGATACCATCCCCATGGTTCATCTGATGTGTACTGTGTAACCTGCTTCACGGTCAAGTAGTTGTCCAACCCCCTGCAAAACAGACTCTTTCAGTATATACCGGTGGCGCTAACAGATGCATTTGACTTAAAATTTAGGATTCTCACCATTCTCCTAGTTCACGCCCAAAACCACTCCGTTTATTGCCTCCCCAGGGAGCCTGACAGAAGCAGGGCTGAGAGCAGTTCACCCAAACAACTCCTGCCTGAAAAGCCTGTGCACCAGAAATACAAAGGGTTGTTGAACATTTCTTTTTTATCCTTTAAAGTCTCTGAAAAGAGGTCAATACCATGCACAAGGGTGATTGGATCTACTTAAGAGTTTGGATGGAATTTTTTTTTCAACTTTGACTCAATTTCAGGTTTCATGGCTGTTATTTACTTGGCATGAATTTAATTATACCTTGGATACGCGCTCACACCTTTCCAGGTCATTTGAAATTACTGCTGCGCCCAGGCCATAACTGTAAAAAGGTCAATAGCACATCTCAATCAAATTCAAAAATCTCAAACCAAAGGTTAAAGTCAAAACAAGTTTGCAAAGAAATACTCAGATTAGCTCACCGGGAATCATTAGCTAATTCAATTGCTTCTTCTTCGGTACTAAATATTTTAGCACATAAAACAGGCCCAAAAACCTCTTCCCGCCAAATTTGCATAGATGTATTTACGTCTGTTATGATGGTTGGCTCGACAAAAAACCCCTTCTTCAGATGCTGTCGTTCATTTGTGAGATCATTCAGTCATACACCAATAAATCAGTAGTAAAAACAGTCCAGATACTACTAGGGCTGCAACATGGGCAGGCTCGAGTAGAGCATTTGCCAAAATTTGAATCCCAATGATGTGTAAATTCAAGTCAGGTACCTGACTGGCACGGTTGCACCCTTAGATACTACTAGCAGAATAATTTACCTGTGGGCGGCAACCTCCACATAGAACTGTTGCACCTTCATTCTTGGCTGTTTGAATAAACTTCTGAATCTTCTCATACTGATGTAAACAGAGAAAATTAGATGGTCTCATCTCATACCAGTTCCATTGAAAGACATTAAAACTCAAATAAAAGGACACAGTTATTCATTTCTCAAGTTGCAATATTTGTGTTCCCTTAGGCTCAGTTTGGAAGGAGTACAAATACAAATATGTATAGTACAGATAATACAATATAAAGTTTTGCACTCTACATATTTGTATTTGTACTCCTCCCAAACTGAGCTTTAAGCTCATAACAGGAAGAGCAGACAAAAGAGAGACTTCTTTTTTTACAAATCTGCATGCAGAAGTTGGGTAAAAAATTATCCTACAACAAACAAAATGAAGATTTCCACAGAAAAATGCTAGTAAAACTTGTTGGTTATGTGAATATTTATCCATCTTATGGATGCTTCACTAGAAATAAATTGCACCATCATCATACTACTAAAAGAAGTACAAGAATTATTGACATAGAAGAATTTTTCTATCATTATAGTAGGATATTTAATTTTTTTATCAATAATAAACCAATGGTCCACAACAGTCAGTAAAGTCAAAGAAGAATAGATTCCAGATCTTTGTCAATCATAAAAGATTTCTACAATTTGCAAGGTAGAAAAGTATGGGACAAGTAAAGTATTAATGAGAAAGCTTCCTTACCTGCCCTTCACTAACAACAGGGCCAAGTCTGCAGCCTTCTTCCAAGGGATCTGAAATCTTGATGTTTTTGGTCCATTTAACAAGTCTCTCAAGAAATGCCTTGGCAATGCTTTCCTGAAATTTTATACACAATATAACTACAAAAATATGATAAAAAAAGGACTTTTCCTGAAATTTTATATTATACAAAGGGACATCTCTCTTCATATAACCAGTATACATGGAATGTTTGGTGGAGTATATATAATATACCTCGACCCTTAAAGCCTTGATTAACATATCTATGCACAATCAATTCGGGGTACATGACAGTGTTTGTCTATTAACATATTTAATGGACATGGACATAAATCCTTGTTCTTCAAAAGTGCAACAAATGAAATCATCTAAATAATAATAATAATAATAATAATCAGCACTCCCTGCAGAGAACTTATGAAATCATCTAAAAACATCTATATTTAGGTTGGCAAACCATATGGTCAAATTTGGCTGCAGGAAAAAGCCTATCATAACAAGAAAAATGTGAAAAAACAAACAGACTCCTTGATTCATTGAGGGCACATAAAATGCAGAAAGCATGATAAAAGAGTAGAAGTAGCACCTATTTTTTGTAATGCATAAAAAGAAATCTTTCCAGTTTCCATTAAGGTACAAATAAGATAGGAACCATTTTTCAGAGAATTCATCTGGTTACCAATGTGTTTTAATCTCAAAAGAATAAAATATTAGGTGAAGTGGTAAGCAAACATTAATACAAAGAGCCTTAGCAAGGCTTCAGATCCATTACCTACCAATTTGTTCATTATCATAGATTTTGCGAGGGATAGACTGCAGAGCACAAATTAGAATTTCTCATGAGATCAAGGTTCAAAACTTTGTCACATATCTGCCTGTATCGGCCGATACGTATCGTACCGGAGCCTTCCTGATATGCCCCTACAGGGGTGTTTCGGGTCGGTGAGTGGTTCAGGGGGTAGACTGGCCCCTCTGAACCAGATTCAGGAAAAAAAAACAGTACAGATACAGGCCGATATGCCCTACCAGCATACCGCCCTGTATGATATTTTGAACTTTGCATGAGATGAACCAAGTTGGAAGACACCACCTGTTGCACTGGAACAAAGTGTGCTCCAAGAGAGGGCTTCACTTGGACCCTGATAGGCCATTCATATAACTTTTTCCAGAGATGTTTCTGATAAGACCCAGAAACTTGACACACAAATCTCAGACACACAGCAGAATTCACACAACTAGAACATCAACAAAGGAACTGGTATTCATTCAGAAGAAAAGAAGAACATTAACGGTTGGTCAGTTCTTCGAGAGACCGCCGGCTCTCCCAAGCATTCACTGAATTCTTTACTCAGCAAAAGTCTCCCTCCCCCATCCCCCAAAGCCCCTTCTTATACTCTTCTTACAGCATAACTGACTCCCTCAATAAATGCCCAGCTGGCCAAGTTATAAATGCCCACACTCTTCTTATTCCTAACTGACATAGCTATAAATGCCTCAAGACTCTCCTTATTCCCTCCAGCCATAATTGCCCCCATGTTCAATTATTTCCCCCCTTAGCCGAAAGCTGAGGAAGTCAAAAGTGGAAGGAAAGTGCTACAAGAGATGGAGGAAGTGGGATCACAAGTAGGAAGTCAAAAGTTGCATCATCAATTGGGAACTTAACCAACAGATGCCTAATAGCAAGACTTAATCAAGTGAATGTAAGCATCTCTTGAAGAATAGTCCTATTTGGTCTTTGGATACAGGGAACTCCCTGGTCAATTCTTCTTGTGTCTCTTGTAGGAATTGAAAGAGGAAATATCCCAAAAATTCATAGCCAACGAATCCTGTCTAAAGCTGCTTTCTTATAATGGATATCCTTGCTTGACAAAAACCTACAATAAGTCCTCCAAATATTTTGTTGCACTATGGATATCGTTCTACTTTCCAAGCATTTGGTTATTATTGGGTAATTTTACTGAAAGAAAAATGTATGATAGTAAGAAACTGTCCACTTGCCTAAAAGATAATAGGTAAACCAACAATAATTTGAAGCACTTTAGCAAATCCATGTTATTTATCAGTTTCTTCAATACCTAGCTTCCTTTGCAGACAAACTTGAGTAAATTGGGAGAGAATGTAGATTTACCAAAGACACGAAAAAATGCTTTTATGTGTAGTGTGGTTACCTAGTTTATATCTCATACTTACATGCAAAATAAGACGAGATGTGGCACTGCAGATTTGGCCATTTGTCCAAAAACAACCAAAAAGGGTCCACTCCACAGCTGCCCAGAATGATAGACAAAAAGTAAATATCTATACAAGGTTTTGCAGTAAAATTATGTGGTGGCAGGTCGGAGTGCCTAAAGGCTTAAAATAATAGATAAGAAGCTCCAACAATCAGTTTTCCCCATGCATGATAAGTTACAATCTTTTCCTCTGAAGAGGAATTTCAAATTAACGATTTCCCCACCCACAGGGAAAACTGTTAAAAAAGACTCCTCACTTGCTCGCAGGCACTAACCTTTCTCAATATCCACATCTTCAAAGACAATGATTGGACTTTTCCCACCAAGTTCCAATGTAATAGGCTGCCATGCCAACCAAATTATCAGCTTAAAAAATGAAAATAGATTTGGCAAGAATTATAACTAGAAAATAAGGCTTGAACATGCCTTAACAACTTGAGCAGCAGCAGTCATGATCTTGCTTCCCGTTGCACTGCTTCCAGTGAACGCAACCTGAAATATACCATGCATAACATACATGATATAGTGTATCAAGAGATACAACAATAATACAATAATCAGATTGAAAGAAACACTAATAAGATCAGATTCCACATTACTTCCTCAACATAAAAACAACCAAAAACACACTGGACCTTGTTTACATCAGGATGAGATGCCAAAGGAGCACCAGCTTCCACACCCAATCCAGTCACAATGTTTAGCACACCAGCAGGAAGGCCTACTTCTCTACATACTTCAGCCAACTCTAAACAAGTCCTGCAAATGAAAGCATAATAAAATACCATTTCAGGACAGGTAAATGAAAGGATTTTGTGTGTGTGTGTGTGAGAAAGAGAGAGAGAGAGAGTTACACAGATGCCAACTCAGATGGCTTTAATATAGCTGCACAACCAGCAGCAAGGGCAGGAGCAACCTTCCATGTAGCCATCAAAAGAGGATAGTTCCTTCAGTGAACAGGGGATAGAAGAGATTGTTAAAAGTCACCAAGTATTGAGCTCATTGATGCCAATAATGAGTAAAATGATAGTTCTTTATGTTAAGATCAAGAAAGAATTTAAAGAAATATGTAATAACTTGGGGACTAGAAGTTGTTCTAAAAGCATAAGTGTCCATTGTAGTTTGTAGATGTAGGAGTGCATATACATAAAGGCATAAAGCTAACTGCTTTATGCAAGCTTATAACTTAGAAAGAGGATGGGCTTTGTATGCTCGCAAAAAGCATTCCAGCATGTAGCATTCCATTTGTCAGCTATTGCCATCTAAATACATGAAATTTCTAATGCACAGTGCTAGCTTGTAAAGGCATTGTTTCATATGACAGGTTATCCATGGAAAGCTGTGAACTACAAAGACCAACAGAATCAGAGTAGCAGATGATGGTGGACCAAGTTCATGATCCATCATTCAAATCTTAACTTGGTGAGTCATAACAAGCGACTGCATACTTAAACATTTGATATCCATACTGTAATAGACAAGCTAATACACATCAATATCCTCAGAAACATCAAATAAGAAAATCCCACAGCCAAATCTATTGCAAGGTTACAAATACCCAAATCGATTACTTAATTGAAACACATAAAGGGGATGCAAGTGCCTAATACAAATCATTGTTTACATGTACCAAATAACCGTGAGTTTCCAAATAGATGACATTATATTATCATCATCAAAACAGGCTAGCCTCAAATCCTGTGTTGTAAAACTTATAAATAGAATTGAATACAGTTAATCTTTCTAAATGTTAAAGAAAATCCAAAAATATAGGGAAAGGAAAAAAAGAGATAAAAGGTAAAACATGGTAGTTAAATAAAAAATGAGAAAGAGAGAGAGGACTAATGATGATGAAGAGGAAGAAATCAGATACCAAGGAGTAATCAACCCAACAACACCAATGGGTTCCTTAAGAACATGACACTTAAATGCCTCCATAGGAAGAGAGACAGGAGCTTTTTGCTTTGTATCTAAAGCTTCTGCAAGTTCTGCATAATACTCAAAACATGAAGCAACATCATCCTGCATGACATGATAGAACAGATAAGATAACATGCATGGAATTCAAGGCATTTGACTTTCAAAAGACATCAGAAACAAATACCATGTCCCATGCTGCTTCATCCAGTGGCTTTCCACAATCAAGAGTTTCTAGCTTAGCTAGCTCATCCTTTCTGTCCTTTATCTGATTGCAATTGAAAAATTTGAAAATTCCATATCCAAAATATAGGAAAGAAAAGTAGTAAAGTACAATAATTTTTTAAGACTGTTCACTAAAGTGAAAAACTTAAGTCAGCGATAAACACTTGAAAACAAGGCAGCTTATTTACTTCACACTATATTATACCTTAATGAGGAATGCTTCTTTTTTTGGGTGTGTGTGTGCGCACGCGCATGCGCGTATGCGTGCATGTGTTAAGTTTTAAGACAACTTCTGCAGAGAACTGCAAGGAACTCTACCTAACTGGTTTCCTACAGTATAAACTGTGTCCCTAAAGAAAAAATGGATCACAGTTTGTATCCAAAACCATTTCAGGCTTTTGCAAACCTGATGTACACAACACTAGTTTTATTTAATGGTCACCCAGAAATTTGTTAAGGATGGAATACATGGTGTAATCTGGATGATAAGGGAAAAAAAAATATTGTAATCTACAGTTCTATACTACTGACACTAGTGAGCAGTAAATTAGAAAAAAAAAAACAATTTAAAGAACAAAGCATCACATTCCGTGTTTTTGAACCTTAGAATGATTTGTAGATTAAGGTGCTTATTGATAACAGCCAAAATGGCTGAACCGAATGGTTGAAACTGAAGCTTTGGTTGAGTACTGTAACTAGAAGGTTCTATTAATTAATTATTTTATCCACCGGATGACAAGGCAATGAGTCATTCAGTTTAGCCACTGCGGCACCTGATACTTCCGAGCTTTGGGACTATGAGTTGTAATTGTAATTTAGATATGCAAGAGATGGAAAAGTAATAGTTTCCATGCAAGAGGCATTTATATTGTAAAAATGAAGTCTGAAAGTTAGTTTCCTCCCTGAGAAAAATATTAAACATATCAATCACAATGAACAATGCAGAAGCCAAAAATCCAAAAAAAAAAAAATCTAGTCCGACATTATTCCATTATATTCTAGGAGCTGTCAAGCTCGGCATGCAAGCCAACAAGTACCATATCAAAAAGAAATCCAGCCTGCAACCATACAGTCTTCCCAAGCAAAATACTTCCCATTTTCCAACATAATTTACCCAGATAATAATACAAGTAAAATTGCAGAAGGCAGATCATAAATTCATAACTAATAGTAAACTAAGTATTCTTATGGTCGGAAAGGGATTCCAAGCCAATTGGATAGCTCTGGAACAGATAAAACACCGAATTCAAGGCAGTAGAACTACACTAACTTGAAAATCCGCCAAACAAACACATCAAATACCTTTGCAGCAATGGCACGTAAATACTTGGCGCGATAAGCCCCGGAAGCCGATGCCCAATATTTCCCTCCGTTCCTGGAGAGGGCCCTCCGAGCAGCATCCACTGCCAACTCCACATCTTCGGCAGTCGCCGCAGGTATATCCCCTGAAACACGTCGCAAGCTCAACAAAATCAGATGTGTGATAAACCAACCTTCTAGCGGTTTAGATCACTTATTATAATACAAATAAAAATAATAGAAATTAGAGAAGCCCGAGGAAAGGAAAAAAAAAATAAGAATCCGCATAAAAAATACAGCATAGTAAGCAATTGAGTAACTCTGAAGAAGTAAATCGGAAAAATCTAACAGAAATTCTTGGTTGGCATGATCAACTCAATCAGAAAAAAAAAAAAAAAGAATTTGGTAGAAATGGCAAAAGATAATCAAACAAAATAAAATATCAAAGGGAACATGGAACCTAAGATCTCTTCAGTGGTGGGGTTGATGATCGGGTATCGTTTTTTCTTGATGGGTTCCCTCCATTCTCCGTTGATGAAAAGTTGACGAGAGGGTATATGGATCGCCATTTCTGCTGCAGAAGTGAAGAAAGAGACAATGAGTGGAGAATGATAGGACTGAGAGGACTATAAAAGAGTTTCCCTTTTTACTGAAAAAATATACAATAGTTCTGACCATCGGCATCGTTTTTATCTTAATGCGTGCGAGGCATGAGGTAGCTTATTCATCGGATCCAGATTAGCTTGATACTTGAATTGATGGCATCCAATCCAATGGTGCAGATCTCGATTTACCGGTGGGAGCTCAAATGTACACTGTAGTAAGTTTCACCGAATCGAGTTGTGCATCTCACCGAGCTCCAATTTGTGAGGGATGTACGAGTCGATACAGGATTTGGTGCGAACCAAGTTTAGGGAATTGGCTACTGACCAATCACGATTGAACACGCTACTGTTTCGTACATAAAAGATTACACCGTAGCCGTAGCCGTAGCCGTTGGCCTGTTAATAGGGTTACTAGCGGGAATCCGTGCGATGCACGGGATTTGGTAAAAAAAGTGAAATAATGTATTTATAAATATTTCTAATTAATAATATTAATTAATTAATACTGTATTTTTTAAAATAATGTTAATTATTAAAAATTAAGAATAATAATGCAATTGTAAATATTTCTAATAAAATCATTTATAACTTGTAATTTTATGCCATTTATAACATAATACATATCACTAATGTATTTTACATTAAGCTTTCAAAGGCCAGAACCGATTTGAACAAAGTGTTTCTTGGTGGCTCGCCTGAAAACCAACCTGAAATGGAGAAGAGATACCGAACTTGCATTTCATAATCCAAGGAAAAAGAAAAACCACCCTAAAATGGAAAAGCGGTGCATTTCAAAAGAAAAACGAAAAACAAAGAAAAATGGAACTTATCTCTCCAACTATAATCATGTGTAATTTTATGCTATTTATAGCTTAGATTATAATTACTGTTTAATACTGTGAATTATACTACTGTTAATTAATAAATAATGTTAATTAATTAAATGTAATTTTCTGGTAATTATAATTTATAGCTTAACTTATAATTACTGTTAATTACAATAATCAGTGTTAATTATTTTTAATTAAAAATATATTATTTTTTTAAATAATGTATTTATTAATACTGTAATTATTTATATGTAAATAAATGTAATTTTTTGAAACTAATTACTGTTTATTAGAATTACTGTTAATTATTAAATTACCATATGTTGGTTTTTGTTAATTATATTAATAATTATTGTTAATTATACAAAATAATTACGGTTAATTTTGTGATAATCGCTGATTATTATAATTAAACAGTGTAAATTAAATATTGTATTCAATACTGTTAATTAATAGATACAGTATTTTTTAGAATAATGTTAATTATTAAAAATTATGAAAATACTGTTAATTATAAAAAATAATTACTGTTAATTTTCTTTTTTTTTTGAAAATAATGTTATTTAATAAATACGTTACTGTTAATTGCAGTTTATTTTTGTTACTTTGTTAATTGCAGTTTATGAAAATACTGTTAATTGCAGTTTATTTTAGTTACAGTTTAAAAATAATTAGTGTTAATTAGTGTTAATTAAAAATGTATTATTTTTTGAAAAATAATGTATTAAATAATTACTATTAATTACTGTTAATTAAAAAATATATTATTAATTACTATTAAATAATCAGTGTTAATTAAAAATATATTATTTTTAAAAAATAATGTATTTATTAATTACTGTTAAATGTAATTACTGTAAATTATAGTTTAAAAATAACTACAGTTAATTATATTACTGTTAATTAATAAGTACATTATTTATAAATTGTAATATATTTATTAATACTGCTTTTCAGTAAATACTGTAATTATTAAAATACTATGAATTAATAATACTGCTTTTCAGTAAATAAATACTGTGAATTATATTACTGTTAATTAATAATTAGTGTTAATTAAAAATATATTAAATGTAATTATTAATTACTATTAATTACTGTTAAATGTAATTACTGTGAATTACAGTTTAAAAATAATTGCAGTTAATTATGTTACTGTTAATTAATAAATACAGTATTTATAAAAAATAATATATTTATTAATACTGCTTGTCAGTAAATACTGTAATTATTAAAATACTAAATTATTAATAATAATGTAATTATGAAATAATTATTTTTCAATACTATATGAAATTATCATTACTGTTAATTCTGTTAATTAATAATACAGTATAAATTAATTAACAGTAATCTCAATAAATACAGTATTTTAATGCTCCGTTGCCTTAGAATGCTTTTTTAACCGTATTTATAATACTGTATTAATTAATTAATTAACAAACTGTTATTTTAAAAATCCTGTATTTTTTGCAAATACTGGATTTATTAATACTGTATATATTTTAAAAATCATGTACTTCATTTAATTAATAAACACCGTATTAATTAATACAGTATATATTTAATTAATTGCAGTATTTTTGTATTCAGTTAATTACAGTATAATATTAATATGTGATCGTAATACAGTATTATAAAAATACGGATTAATTAATTAATTAATATTTTAGTAAACATTGTTAATTAATTAGCAAATTGTTATTTTAAAAATCCTGTATTTTTTGAAAATACTGGATTTATTAAAAATATTGTAATACTGGATTTTTTTAAAATACATTATTAACCGTATTCTACATGGATTAACCGTGTTCTACACGGTTCGAGTAATTGTGTTTTCGAAAATGGGTAGAAGACGACCCGCTTAGTTTGTCTTCTCCCCCACACGGTAAAACGAGTCCCACGACGACTCGGATAATATTTTATAGCATTTTTTTTCGTTTTTTTTCGGATTTCTTTCACTTGTAATGGGTCTTTTTGTATGTTATGTGTAGTTTTAATATATTTTTTATATATTTTTTACCACAAAATGTTAATGGTTGAGGAAATCGTACCTGTTTTTTTTTTTCTTTTTGTTCTTGTAACTTTAATTCCAGACTTGAACCTTGTAATTTTCACCGGAGAACATGCCTGAAGCAACATATGAAAACCATTAAGCAAAAATCGAAAATGAATTTGAAAAAAAAAAAGAAAAAAACCCAGCGAAGAAAACAAATCTGATATGTGGCTTTATTCTTCTGTGTTCACCGATCTCATATGAGAATTTGGAGCGAGTGTGAGAAACAATCAAGAAAATCAACTTTTTGAAAATGCTACTTGATGAAGGAAGATTTGGCCCAACCTCGTAACCACTCAACATGTGGCAAAGGCAACAGTTTGGCACAACAGCTCGACAAGGTGCGAGCTCCGAAAGGAGGAACCAGTGGTCCAAACTCCCCGCAAGGAGCCCGAGCTCTCCCTTAGGCCTCGAGCCTTATGAACACAAAGGGCAACAACCCGAACTGGCCTGCCCCACGGCAGTTCGGGCCACACTTCTACCCGAACTCAAGACTTAACCTCGCACACCACTCCAGCACTTCGCCCCCGGGACACTGAACTGAACAAACCGTACCTGACACTGAAGGAGTCCGTATCGAGGGGTGGCGCACCTGACTGACTTGGGATCTGACGCTTGACAGCCGCATTCCAACGGCCACTTGCCACCGCCACCTGCCACCGCCATCTCCAGTTACAGAGACGGCTCCGACAAGGAGCAGTGGCGGTTCTGTCCCAGCAGAGGTGATGACACCCGAACTGACAGAAGCACAGAAGTAATCATACCCGACCTGACAGAGGCCTCGGAGTGAGTGCGCGAGGTGGTTATAAAAAGGCTCTCTACCCCCCGAGGACGAGGTATGTGAACTTTGCGCCATCTGGTTTTATCTTGCCTTTGAGATAAGACTAACTTGAGCTTCGGAGTGATCTCGTCGGGTTCCTCCCCGGAGATTCTCCACTTTCTTCTCCGTTTCAGGCCCCCCTGTTGCTTCAATCAGAGGCAAGTTGGCAGATAGGATCGATCGAATTGCGCACCATCACTACTACTCTCGTTCATGCACAGGGATCTCTTTTGGTAGACGGGAGATGCTTTGAATAGAGTGGACCAATGATCGAATAAGCTTGGAAATGCTCTTCAAAATGTTTTGAAAATGCCAATAGTCTATTCATGCACAGATCTTCAACTTAGAACGTTTTTACTTAGAAATGTAGTGGAAGAGGAAAGTAGGGGAGAAAGGAGAGATGTGCTGACATGACACGTCTAGTTTTAATATATGGGGAAATTGTCTAAAACTCACAATGAGTTTTGCATTTCTCTTAAACTCACCACAACTTTTCAAAATGTCTAAAACTCACCATGTCACTAACTTGACGTTAACCAAACTAAGGGGTGTTAGTATATTACCATTTTAACCTTCATAGAAAAATATAAAATATATGCAAAATAGATTAATGGGTGTTAATATATTATCATTTTAATATTTAGACATGAAAAAAAGGAAAAAGTTCAAAAAATATTTTCAAATATAAAATACATAAAAACGCAGAAATTACAAAAAATATAAAAAATTATAGAAATTGCAAACAAAATAAAAAAGTATTTTCAAATTATAGAAACTATAGAAAATGAAAAACAAAATCAGAAAATAAAAATTGTAGAAAAAACACCAAAAATTATAGAAAAACATAGAAATTGTAAATAAATAACAAAAATACAAAAAAATTATAGATTGTAGAAAATTTTAAAATGTAAAAAAATATAAATTATAAAAAATATTGGAAATTATAACAAAGCACTAAAAATGCAAAAAAAAAAAAAAACAAGAAAATTGAAAACTGAAAAGACCATTTTTCCTCTAACTTACAATTCAAGGGTAATTTGGTCATAAAAATTGTTATTTATGCCAACATGGACACCTCTATTAAGAAGCATTAATGGGTGCATTAATGGAAGGTGAATTTTGGAAAATAAAAACTTAGTGACATGGTGAGTTTTATACATTTTGAAAAGTTGTGGTGAGTTTAAGAAGAATGTTGAAAACTAATGATGAATTTGTGACAATTTCCCATATATATATATATATATCACTGGCATGCGTGTCAACTTGTGATTGGAACACGTGTGAGTTGCGAATTGGCAGCTTACGTTGTTATGACGGTATCTTCTTTATCTTTGAACGCAACAAATTGCCTTGTGGGCTACGATTCCATATTTCATGCAATACACGTGTATGAAAAAGTTATGATATCGGAAAACAATTAACCAATAAATTGGAATCATAAAGTGGCAGCGAATCAGATTTCATTTATCAGAATTTATGGTTGGATTTTGATAGGTCAAAATTCTTTCCATTATCATATCTTCCCTTTTCCCTTTTAATACATGTGTGTATAATGTAACCCAATCACGAATGAACACGTGTAGTCCCGTGTGTACGGAACACTCGCGCTATTCGGTTACAGATGGATGTATTCATAGCAGATCCATTCCCGACTCGTGGGTCACGGGTTTGGTACTTGGTAGTGATGGACTTCACTTCACATCAAACACTCTATGTGGGAAGTGGGATGCTAGTGATGGACTCGTGGGTCGCGGGTTTGGTGGTGATGGGCTTCCCCTCTGCCCATTTCTCTGTCTTCCCACTTGGCGTCTTTGACTTCAACAGCAATAGGTGGGATTGATGGTGAATCCATGAGAAACAGAGAGATAAGGCGGTGGGGATTGAGGTGGTATTGGTCAGATTTCTGACAATTGGGAGGAAATTAAAGGGCGGTGAATAGCAAGTCAAGATCATCGGCGGCATACATTAGATTTCCGGTGGAGAGACCAGATTTGATTTGGCGATAAATGTGGATGCCGAGTTCCCATGAGACCAATGTGATGGAAATGCTTTGCTGAAACCTGAAAAGTTAGAACTGTATAGAAATGAGGCTTATATTCGCACCGAATTCGTATAAAAGAAAAATGTCACTCTATCTCTGAGATAACAGAGAGATGAGCAGAACGAAAAAACAGACGATCTTTCCCTTGAATCCTTGTCAATGCATGCAGAAATCCAAGTGGGGATGTTCTTGTGTCTTGTGCACTGAACCATGATAGGCATTTTGCTGTGTATGGTTGTGATTGTGTTCTCAATGATAGCCATTCTGTTGATAATTCATTTTTTGCACTCTATACATTTTTTTTTGGTATAAAAATAATTGATTGAATGACCATTTATTTATCATATGTTATTAAGTTGAATGACCATTTATTTATCATATGTTATTAGGGGTGACCAAATGGATAGGTTTTATTGGGAATCGAGTGGAATCGATCTTCAACCAGTCTTGAATTGATCCTATCTAATTTGTTACAAGGTAGGGTCTGATTCAAAATTCTTAGAACCGGCCCTCATTCAACTCAGTTCCAAGGTCTAGGGCTTTACCCACCTAAACCGACCTTGATTGGCTTTGGCAGAACTGGTTTTGGAAGAACATGCCTTAAAATAAATCCCAAAATATTTTTAAGAATGTGAAGATTTGAAGTCAAACACTCATGATTACAAAAGCCATGGTTCCACTTTACCATTGGATTACTTAAGTGATTTGATAATTTGTTTTCATTTTAATATTTGAATGTGTATAATAAATAATTTAAAAGGTAATATTTACAAAATTTAAATTATAATGACAAATTGTGAACCATATATTAATATATTATGAAAATATATTAAATTACTCAATTTAATTAATAAAGCTAATATAAATTTTAAACTATAAATTACCATTATTGAAAACAAAGTTTTTAAATGACATGTTTCTTTTTTGAAAGGGGGAGAATAAAGAAAGAATAGGTTTCATAGGTCTTTAGAACCGACCCTAGAACTGCCAAGGCCAAAACCGACCCTAGAACTGCCAAGACCAAAACTGACCCTAGAAGAGACCTCTACGAGATAGGTCTCGGGTTCTGCCATGGAACTGAATTGAATTGATCCATGCCACCCCTGTTGTTACCAATAACATGTAATTAAGGCCCCATTCACTTTTCGGTAAGTTACTTACCCAGGTAAATGCAACTACTTGGGTAAGCTTTTCCTGGGAAACACATACCTAGGTAAGTGTATTTACCCATGTTCTTTTATTTTCCAGTTAAATAAGACAATGACCATTTTAGCCATAGAAATTCATTATTGAAAGGGGCATTTTTGTCCCATTCAAGTGTTGGCAACTTTTCCCCCATGTGGAAAAGTTATTTACCCATATAGGAGATGGGTATCACTTTCCTGGGTAAGTAGTATGTAGGAAAATAAACTTTCCTTGGTCCCGACATAAAACTGCAAAAAGAACATGGGATTCTTGGTCAATGGGCACCAAAATCCTATTGACCAACTTCCCCCTTCTCAAAATCCAAAAAAAAAAAACGCCCCCTAAAATTATAATACAGTAATATGTATTACACAGAACTCAGGGGTGGCCGGGTGGGGACGTAGCAGGCCCCCTCCCCCCCCCCCCCAAAAAAAAAAGTATGCTTATTTTGAATTCGATTGTAGTGGTATTAAACTAATATTGATGCTTCATTATGGATGGTAAATGTAGATGAAAGGAAGCCTTTATGCTGATTGAAATGTTTTCAGTCATTGGTTTCATGGTTATTTTGGGAGTACTTAAAAATAAGTGCTTATTTGGGGGGATGCCACACCATTAAGCACTTATTGGTGTTTGGGATATAAGCCCGAAATAAGTGCTTATTTTAAAAATAAGGGTTTATTTTTTAAGCCCAAATTTCCAGTTTTTTTAAGTGCTTATATAGTAAGCACTTAATCAATTTTTTTTCTCTTAAAATTATCCCCGATATTTTTAAAATACCAATTATATCCTTTTACAAAAGTACTTTTATGAAAGTAATTTTACAAAAGAACTTTTAGGAAAGTACTTTTACAAAAGAACTTTTAGAAAAGTACTTTTACATGAAAACACTTTTATAAAAGTAATTTTATAAAAACATTTTTACGAAAACACTTTTTTATAAAAACACTTTTACACAAACACTTTTATAAAAGCACTTTTATAAAAACACTTTTACAAAAGCACTTTTATAAAAACACTTTTACAAAAGCACTTTTATAAAATCACTTCTATCAAAGTACTTTTATCCTTTCACTTTGGATTTGATATTTTGAAAATTTGAAAGAAAATGAAGGACGAGTCACAATAGCTTGTTTAAGTGCTTATTAGAGAAAAAGACCGCCAAACGCCCAATATGAAATAAGTGTTTTTTTTTTTTTTTTAAATAAGCACTTGAAAAAGCTGGGTGCCAAATACAAATAAGTGTTATTTGAATAAGCATTTGTTTTTACGCACTTATTTTTAACATAATCATTCCCAAACATGGCCTTAGTCTCGACACTCAACAGTGGCTTTTCACTTATCATGCCCGGACATGAAGAAATCATTTCCAAGACTTTTTTTAAACCCCTTCTTCTCCTTGAGTCCTTGTACAACTTTTTCACTTCATCAAAACAAATAAATGAGGAAAGCAATTTTGACTTCTTTGTAAATCTTGTACCTGCAGTAAACAATCTCATTGACAATGACTTCCCCCTGGATCAGCTTGGAAACTGGGAAAAAACCACTATCTTCTTTCCCTGGTGGGATGAAGTTTTCTACAAGAAAAAGTAATGGTGGCAAAAGAATAACCATGGCTTGTAAGTTAAGTGGAGAAATTTTCTTGTTTTCATTTAACCAGTAAATTAAAAACTTGACAATGTAAGATGGCTTTAAACTAAATGTAAGCACAGGGGCAATGCAAACCCTGCAGGTTCTATCCTCCACATGTTTCTTTACAGTCACCAAACAATTCAAGGGAAAACTGTCACCCCGAAAGGTGGGAACTGCAAGATGATCTTACAACCAGCAAAATATAGGCATCAGACCTCTGAGGATATCCAATGGAGACAGTTTGACCTCTTTCAAATGAAATGTCCCTGAAAACTGAAATGATAGAGCAACAAAAGAACTGGACAGAAGTCGCAGAATACAATCCACAGCATCATCAATTGAGGTAGCACTAATAGCTCAATGAAGTGACTGGCTTTAGTCCTCAAGATTAATGAAGACCATCACCCATTGGAAAACATGGCCTAATTTTGGTATTGAACTTCATGGATGATGCTTCCACCAATTTTACTTAACATGCTCCACCTGAATTGTCAAGTCCTTGACTCCAGCATCATGTAATATGTGTGTCACCTGTGCCTTTGTAAAAGCCTTGTCAGTTTCTGCAGAGATATGGAGATGGAGTGTTCCTACAACATCTGTGTTTGTGAAGCTCCAAACATGCAAATTCTGGATACCTTGAACTCCATTTATCCTTGTAATATCGTCCAGAGCTACTTTGAGATCCTGCTCATGAGCCCTTGGAACTCTTTGAAGCAAAATTTCTGCAGAATTTCTCAGCAACGGAACCACTGAAGATACAATCATCAGTGAAATAAATATTGAGCAAGCAGGGTCTGCAATGAGCCATCCCTTGTACTTAATTAAGAGGGTTGAGATTACAACCCCAAAACTTCCCATTGTGTCCGCCAGAACATGCAGGAAGATTCCTTCCATGTTGTGGTCAATGTGGTGATGATGGTGCTTTTGAGGTTCCTCAACAATTTTTCCCTTGGATGATGATTCCTTTAACTTCCCATCATTTCCTGATGTAGAATGGCTATGAAAGTCTGATTTCTGAGCATGCGTGTGAGAAGATGTACACTCTCTATGACTACAACTGTCTCTGTGCACCTGAGACTTGCCATGTTCATTATCCAAAAGCAAGTGATTCTGCAAATTTTTTGAATCTATAGTACTGCTTCCACAGGCTTGAGGGCTGGCATGGTGATGATGATGGCCATAGTGATCAAGTTTGTCAGTATCATTGTGGTGATCATGGTCGGAATGATGATGATGGCCATGATGATCATGTTGATCAGTATGGTTGTGTTGATCGTAGTCAGAAGCATGGTCATGGTGATTATGTTGATGATCAGAGCAGTGGTGATCATGGCTGCATGTACTTCTCCCAATTTTTTTGTCTCCACAGTTGTTGCTATGGGCATGGTGATTATGGGCAGTGCTTGATGATTTTTCAGATGATTCATGGGAGACTGAGATGCACTCATGATGCTCATCATGGCACATATTCTCCAGCACATGATCATGTGAATGATGATGGTGATGGTGATTGGAGTGCGAATGTGGGTGTGAATGTGAACATGATCCAGCTCCACCATGAGCATGATGGTGCTCTTCATGAAAGAAGATCAAACCCACTACATTCACCACAAGCCCACCAATTGACACAGTTAACAAACTACTAGTTGAAATTTCCTGAGGATCCAAAATCCTCTCGAATGACTCCAAAACAATTAGTGCTCCCACCAGAACCAGGAAAACAGCATTGACATAACCAGATAGAACCTCAAATCTCCCACGACCAAAATTGAATTGATTATTTGCAGGCAACCGTGAGATATACGAAGCATACAGTCCAATTGCTAGAGCAGCACAATCAAATAGCATGTGGCAAGCATCTGATATCAAACCAAGGCTGTTGCTCATGAACCCGGCAACGAATTCCACAACCATGTAGGCCGTATTAATAAGAAGGAAAAGTGCAATCTTACGGGATTTCCTCTCACTCAATATATGGCGAATAGGCTTTGTGATCATTGACGAAAACGATTCAGAAGAATCTGAACCTAGTTCAGGATAGCTTGAAGCAGCAGGATCTAGCTGCCTAACCGAGACCCACAGCAAAAGGCCACAAAACAGCAGTCCCCAAAGCGATAGCTCGGGGAAGTAGAATAGTTCTAAAACAAGAGTGCAAGCGAACGTAACCAGAAAATCCCTCTGAAAATCTTTGGGATTCGTTAACTTCTCGTCACCATAATTTTCACTTAAAAGAACTCCAAAAATAACGGTATTGGCCAGAGGCCAACCGAGGTTTCCAAGAGAAACAGCATATCCCTCTTCTTCAAACATAAGAAAGCTAATTGCTGCTGGAAAGAAAAGCACAACTGTTGTGAAAAACAGTGAAATCAAGCGAACCCGTTTCCGACCCAACTGCCTGATTGATCCCCAATTCATCGACAAACGTTCATAACAGCCCAGAAATCCAGAAAGAAAGGGCAGCAACATGGGCCAAACCCTGACACAATTGCCACCAGGAAACAATGACAAATCCCCATTTCCAATATTCACAGAAGACAGAGGAAAACACTCAATCCGATCCCAACTAATCGACAAAAGAAACAACCCAGCAAACAAGGTAGAGAACCCACGAACCTTAGAAGCCAAGTTGCCATTACGATCTCCAGAATTCCAATTCCCACTCCCGGCGAAGAACCTCGCTGCAACATTTCCGGACAATTCAGCAAGAATGGTTGCGGCAGTACCGCAATATCGAAGGGCTTGGAATCTGAGGAGGAAGACGACAGCCAGAAGAACGGATTTGGCAACGAGGAGACGATGCTGAGATTGTGTAATTAAGGTGAAAGAGAAGATGGGTTGTTGTTTCTGCTGTGGTTGAAAAGGGTCCCTGGCGGAAGGGGAGAGGAGAGAAAAGGCGAAGGTGAAAAGAAAAGACAAGAGAGATACGAGGAAGGAGAAGGGAAAGAAAGAGAAAGAAGGGGAAGCGCGAAGAAAGGGGAGGAGAGAATAAAGAGAACGAAGAGAGAAGAGGAGAAGAAAGAGAGAGGAAATAGTATTCCTGTTATTTGCTCTGTTATTGAAGGAAGGGAATGAAGAGAGGCGATTTTTGGATGGGGTTGGCGTTGGAGTGGAGGAAGAATAAGGATAGAGAGGGTAAGGTCTGGATGTGGGGGCAACGGTGACCGGAGAGGCGATCCGAGAAGGCAGTGAGAGACGTTGTGGTCGATGCATCTGATGATGGCGGTGGTGGTGATCCGAGTTCGACATGGTTTGGGGCGATCTGGTTCTGGGAGGGTGAAAGTTTACGTTTTTACTGTTTCAGAGAAGGGAAGGTTTTAGGCCTAGCCTCAACTCATTTTAGATTTTTTCGTTTCGAAAAAGAGAAGAAAATGACTTGGCCTGCGTGGCGGACGGGCTCGCCGAAGACTTTGCGACATCGTCTTCGGGTCTAGTCTATTGTGCTGGGCGCCTGGCCAAGTGGCCCCGGCGGGTCTTTAATTCTCAATTAGTACATGTATTTTGGACCTAAATGTTATTTTCATCCCCGAATTTTAAAATATGAAAATTCAGTATCTAAACTTTCAACACTTATTAATCCAATACCTGCCTTTCAATGACTGTATAAGTCATGTATATCACGTGGCATTATGTGAAACATAAGAATTTTAAAAATATCAAAATTACTCTTAAAAATAAATCACGGTTCATCATCTTCTTTCTCAAGAAGATGAAACAGAGGTGAAAATTGGTCTGGTGGTGGTCTTACCTACAGGAATAACATAACTCTTCCTAATTTCCTCTTGAAATTGGTAAAATGGTGCTTGACCTTTAAAAGAAGATCATCGCCCATCATCAGATTTGGGTATTTAGATAGTTGATAAAGAAAATTAGATGACACTTAAAGGGTATTTGTGCCTTTTTACATGCCACTTAACGAATGATTAACGGTGGTAGGTACTGGATTGACATGTTTTGAAAGTTCAGGTACTATTTTAAAGTTTATGGACCAAAATGACACTAGGCCCAAAGTACAAGATACTAATCGAAAATTTTCCCTACATTTAATGAGCGGAACCGTTTAATTTAATAGTGGTGAAGCTTTATGGAGGGAGGATGAGTTTGGACCTTCTTGCCCAAGTGATCCAACCAAGTTATGTAAGAGTACCCTTTCGGGGGAATGCTAAGGCTGTATTTGTTTTTAGTGTAAACTCCATCGATGTAAAATTCAATGGATGGAGTACAACGTTGGTGGATTTAAAATTTTAGTGAATCATCAGAACTTTTTATGTCATAATATTTACATCGACTATCGAGGGGAAACTCAACTGATGGGTTCGATGCAAACCTTACACTGAAAACAAATATAGATAAATACAGATCAAGAGTGGAGTTTTATATTTGTCCGTATTTACACTGAAAACAAACACAACCTAAGGTATTATTCCTTCAGTTTCGGCTGAAAGTTTTAAGTGTTGTTTGACAAATCTTTTTTTGAAAGAATTTTTTCAACAACCTAGATGGCCAAAAGTTGGTGACATTTGGCAAGTCTAGAAATTCGGTCTTCTTTGGTAACTAAAATTTAGTAAGATTGGAAGACATGTATATAGAAAGACATGAATAGACCTGTTCATGGGTCGGACCGAGCTTTCACTTTGTATTAACAGATTTTTCTAAGGCCCGAGCCCGAGCCCGATCCGACAATTGGGCCAACAACTTGGGCCCGAGCTCAACCCTCATAAAAAGTCTGAAGCCTGGGCCTGGGCCCGAGCCCGAAATTTAGCCCATATTGTTACTACTACTGAAGTGGCTGAATAGAGAGAGAGAGAGAGAGAAAATATATAAAGAAAAGAATAAAAAATGTATATAATAAATTAAAAATATATATTTTAATAAATATTATATTATTTATATATTTATATAATATATAAAATACATATTATATATTTTATAAAATATATAATATTGAGTCGGGCTGGGTTGGGCTCGGGCCGAGCTTTTTTGACAAATCCCAAGCCCGGCCTGAAACACAGTCGGACTAACTGACCTCGGGCCTAATTACATGACCAAGCTCGACCGAGGTGCGGGCCGGGCCATTGGGCTACCCGACCCATGAATAGGTCTAGACATGAAAAGATAAAAATGGTCAAATTTTGGGAAGCGTAAAATAAAGTTTTCTGGTTTTTGGTGTGATAAATAATAGGGCTTTTCATAAGAAGACCCAACCCAACCAACCTGAATCGGCCGGGTTTTCTTCAGCACCGATCGGTTTCGGGTTGTAAAAAATCATAAACCGATGGTTTGGGTGACCCGAAACGACTTAGTAGTTAGTAGTTAGTTCCTAGTTAGTATTTACAACCTACTTAACTAAGTTGTTTCTATCCTATTTACAATCTAACTTAATTTATAGTCTTCTAGTTAGGGATGACATTAATGGCAAGTATTGTAAGACAACTAGACTAGGAATTTTTTTGGAAAAGTTTAAAGAAAATAATCAAAGGATCCTAGTTTTTATGGTCTTTTACACCAAATAGGCAACTAATTACAATTAGAATTAAGTGTCCTTTTTTACTTAGATTAGAAGGTTTCTTGAAATATACAAATTTCAGTCTTCTTTCTCTAGTACAGTTTGACTTTCTATTTTCTTGATAACTTCTATTCTAACTTGGTCCGCCCCCTACCAATTTCAGTCTTCTTTCTATAATAGAACTAAGTGTCTTTTTTTATATCAAATTTCAGTATTCTTTCTCCAATCTACCAATTTATTACCATGGTTGAACTTAGAGTCGAAACCGATCCAAACCGACTCAAACCGACCAGGTCAATTTTGCTTAACACAGGGTTGGTTTCGGTTTCAATTTCAAGTAACCCGACCAGGTCGGGTCAGTTGAAAAAATCTCAGTAAACCGACCCAACCCGACCCGTGAACAACCCTAATAAATAGCCTCTAATTGTGTTTTTAAAAGCCAAGTAGATTGTGCCACTTGACAAATGGCCTTTGTCTTTAAAGACAAAAGCTCAATACATCTTTTGGCCATCAAGGTTGCTCGAAAATCTTTCTAAAAAAACTTGTCAAATAACACCTTATTTTAATTAGGCTCCAAAAGAATAACTAAATAAAAGGAAGAATGACCGATGACCCCAGGGTAAGAATTCGTAGGCTCAAAATACATTTGGGATAGTTATCTACTCGGAATTGATGCAATTCACAGGTCTATCCGTACTGAAAAAAATAAAGACTCCAACACGATAAGATTCAGCCCAAATAGACCGGAAAGAGATAAAAAGGTGTACGGTGGAATTCCAAACATTCTATCTTAATGGCGAAACCAGAAATTCTCTCCTGAGGTCCATGAAAATGCCATCTGAAAAAAGATTTTATGAATCAAAACGGTACTATTTTTTCTTTAGTCAAATACAACGGAAATTTTAAGATTAATTCAATCAATCATCACGAATTATAAATCAAATTATATGAAGGAAAATAACAACAGGATGATTCATAACAAGACAAAGAACATACAAAGCACGATACTTCTAACGAACAAAGTGAATTATTCCATTCCATGTGTCACATTTCTCCTTTTCAAAATTTGCTCCAATATCCCTATTCTTATTTTTATAAATTTTTGATTTTTTTTTTTTTTATCTTTTAATTTCACATAATTGACCATTAAACCAATAAAAAAACAATATAAGTGATAAGTTTACTAAAATCATTCCTATTGAAACATCTCCTTATTATAAACATTTTTAAAATCTCTCTCTCACCCCATTTAGTAGCCTCACATTCTATAACAATTCAAAATCGGGTCGGATTTCTTATCCGCATGACATCACAGCCATATATGAGGAACATTTCATCTTCTTATATATTATTATGTTCTCAATATATGGAGATAGTGTTTTGTAGGTGGGCATGAATAGAGTTCTTGTGGGTACTGGGTAGGAATTGCAAATTAAGTCTTCAAAATCAAGATATGGTAAGAAAAAACCTCTCAGGTGCAGTAATGTTTGTCTTCATGTTTCCCTATTCATTTATTTGATTCCAAAAGGGTTGCTAATTCGAGTATGGTGAAATTTTGGAATGACAAGTTTTCTAGGCATGTCACACGGCCCATATCATATATATTAGAGATTTTCCTTTTCCTTTTTTATGCTTAAAAACGTGTTCTGGGACTCTCTTTAAAATTCTCATAAAATCTATTTTAAGTTTCATTTATATTTTAGGGTAAAATACAAAAATCTTCCCTGCATTTTTACTTTAACAAAAACCTCCTCTATATTTTTTTAGAAAATATACAACTACCTCCCTTTCTAGACAAAAAAGCCATCCTAATATGTATTTGTTTTTTCAAAATACCTTCTTTTCCCTTATATCTATTTGTTTAAATATCCTTGAAAACACTGTTCATTTTCTTAAAAACTAGAGTCACCAACCTTCTCATTTATTTGGGAAGCTCAATCCATGCATGACATATCACTCCTGGAGTAGCGAAAGCAGGGGAATCATCCCACGAGATTGCAACCTCTCCATGGGTTGGCCGGTGGAGTCCTCACCGCCAAACTACAAACTCTCTGTAGGATGGCTACTAGCCAGTTGACCTCACATCTACCTTGCTCTGTCTCCACTCCAACGATTGAACAGAGTAAGAAGTAGGACCGTCGTCACTCGCAGGTCACAAGGGCGGAAAAAGATCACACTACAAGGAAGGCCATTGCCCATTGGAGTAAAAAATATATAGGTTCCTCCTCTCACGAAAAAGGAAGGTGGCTTCTTGCTTTACGAAAAAGGAGTGTGTGGCTCCTCTCAATCTAATTGCTCAAACCTCTCATTTAAAATGGTCAGACTGAAAAGAAAAACAGTAAAAAATTGGAGCAATACCTGCCTAAAAAGGTTTAAGCAAGGAAGGAACTGGGAGCAGGGATGTCTGAAACCAGAAACGATGGAAAGAGAAGCAGAAGGAAGAAGAATCGGAAGGTGGATTTCAAAAACATGCAGGAGGAAATCATCTTACTAATCTTTGTGTAGTAAAGAAAATGACTTAGAAATTGAGTTCTATTGCTTAGCCAATCCTTCAAGCTTTGGCTGCAAAAAAGCTCTTCCTCTTCTTCAACGTTGAAGGGTATATTCAACGATGAATTTGTTGTGGAACCCAGGACCAATGGAGTACGTATGTGAAACCCAGGATTGGAGATCTCTTTTTTCTCTTAACGCTTTTCCTTAGTCCTCATTTGCATCCAAATGCTAAAACCGATAAAATTTAGAGAACAAAATGTTTGAGAGATGGAAAATCTCACTTGGTGCTTGTTCGAACCACTATTCCACCGTTTGCACATTAGTGGAAGAAGATGATAGGAAAAATAAAATTTTTCTATAAATTTCAGTCACATTTTAAGATGACGTGGTGAATTGTTATTGGACTGAAGGGTTCATATAATGCATCCGAGAGAGAAAAACGGTGGCTCTGATTCTTAGTTATCCGGAAGAAAATGAGCAGTGTTTTGGAGAGTATTTAAATAGACAGGCAAAAGGGCAAAATAGGCATTTAAAAAACGAAACACATTAGATTGGCTTTTCT